CCCCCACATTAACATGAAATCGTTTCTAAATTCTAGTGTATGTCGTTGTTCTTCACTTAAATTCTGAATGAACTTGTAAAATAATTCTACAGTATCCTCTTATTAAAGAAAAAAAAAATCGGACTAATCCAAAAGCTTTCTTTGGGAAACATGTTCTCTGACGGCCTAATGTTCAACAAAGACGAAAGAACACACACACTAATCCCATTTTATGTATTTGCTCACTGTAGAATGTGGTGTGACTAAATTCTAAAAGTCTTTGCTTTATTCGCTTTGAATGTTTTTTCTGAGATGAGATGTATTAATATCAAGCAATGGCGTGGCCTGCTTGAACTGCAGCTACACAGATATAAGGTAGTAATACAATCAAAGACTGTGAGAACTTTAAAATGTTTACAAAATATTGATTAGCCTTAAAATGAGCAGATGCAGGTTCTTTTTTATTGACATGCTTAAAAATAACAGCTAGAGCTTTGAATCGTAAGCACTCAGTGTTTCGTCTCTGTAGCAAACTCTCCATCTATGAACTTTTCATGTTTATTCAGATTGAAAATAAAGAAGGCGCCACTTGTGTGTTTTGATGCATTTTGTGAAACAGATATTTCACACTAGTCTCTGTAGGGGATTCATTTTGAGGACAAGGGCTAGAATAAAAACCGGGTGTCTCTGAACACCAATAGCGCTGTGGAGTACAGTATAATAGAGAAAAAGTGCAGAGAGGCTCCAGGGACACATAAGCAGCTTTCAATCCTAGCACATTTATTATATTCTCTCCAACTTCTTCTGTTCCATTGTGTCATTGCTACCCCAGTATTTCCTCTCCCCTTCTGGTCATTTTAGGTTTCCAGAGCTTCTTTTCTCATATGCTTGTTATCACACCCTGACTCTCCAGCTTTTTCCTTTACTTCTAGCAGACAAACTACAGTGCACCTCCACAGTCTAACCCAGCAGAATAATCTTATAAAGAGTCCAGAATACCAAGACCTACCTTCCATAGCATACTTCATGTCCTGTGCAAACAATGTCCACATGACCTCTGCTGACACCTTTCCTACATTAAGTTCTTGAGGGAACCTGAGACAGATGGGAAGATGTGACAAGGTGAAACCTAGTGGATTCCTGAGTTTAATGCAAGCATCCATAAAAATGTCCTAGATCTCTGGAAAAAGAATCAAGCAAAACATTTTGTTGAACTACTGCAGTTGAAGTAAAACCTAAAAATAAGGAGACCTGATTTTGATGTATTCAAGCGGCTTGAATATTTTAGGAGTAGAGTTGCATGACTCACTGGTTCAGTACAGGTGTGTAGGAGTTTCTGTCTTCTTCAATGATGGAAACAATGAGCATGATGAGTTTGGGCCAGAAGTCCAGATTCTTAATGCTTGGACCCTGCTCCTCCAGAGGAAGCTCCTCCTTCTTCTGAATAAAAACCAAAAGGAAAACAGTTAACATTATAGTCGCTCCTTTATTGAAACATTTTATTTTCTTCACCGGCCTGCTGCTACAGAGTCTGATAGCTGCACATTGTATCCTGCAGCTGTGTGACTCACCGTGTCCACAGGCTGGTATTGTCTGCTGTACAGCTCGTGGCAGTTATTGAAAATGTAGTCGTATGTAGAGTTGAGGCAAGCTTTGACACAGTCCCTCACAACTTGACTGGCTCTGGGCGGAGACTGTAACTCCTGGACCTGGAAAGAAGATGAAGATAGCTACAGAGTCAGTAGATGACTGCAAACAAGGGATATTTTATCAACTTGTCAATATCTGGCAACAACTTCAAGGGAAAAAACATTCAAGTCAACAAACTGATAAGAAGATACTACAAAGCTGAACTACAGATAAAGAATATGCAATGTTACCTACCTTCATCCTAAAAAAGGTAATGCTGGTTAGAAGGTCCACGGTGGATTTCAGATCTTGCAGGCGATCCTTGCTGCTGGCAGGGAAGTGATTCTAAAGAAGAAAAACACGTTTAGTTTACACGTTTTCACACTTTTCAAAGACTGTTGGCACAATTTGCACAAAAAATATTTATTGATCAGACGATGAAAAAATTCTTTTTTTTTGTTTTTTACTGGCACAAAAATATTAGACATATACATTTAGAAAACAAGACTAGTAGTGATACAAGAATCTCACCCTATAACTAGAAAGGTCAATGCGTAAGGAGTTGTGCAGCTGGTCTAAGAGCTTGACAAAGCGTTCTTTCTGTATGGGAAGAAAAGGGGAAAAAACATGTTCCTATATTAGAAAGAAGTTTGGCAATCTATTTGTGCATAAAATGCTATAGCGAAGAAAGGAAGAGAAAATAAAATAAAACAAAACAAAGTACTTTACTGTGTCTGTGTGTGTCAGTAGTACAAACCCCAAAATTAGAAGCAGCAAAGCGGTCGGAGGCAGAAACATTGGTGGAGGCTGTTGTGTGGGCGTAGAAGGCATTGATATTGGCCAGCAGGGTGCTCATCACTGCAGGGACTCCAGGACACATGTACTTAGAAGACAGACAGGCAAAGTGCCTGCATAGAGTAGCAAATGCAAAGCTTGGTAAGTACTTGGGTGGGAGGCCTTAAGACTTCTTCAACAATGTGTACCTGCTTACACTTTGTTGCAATAATGTCAGCATCCAGTTCAAATACCTTTATTTGGACAGTCTGCATGTACTACAGGCTCTTGTTTTCACGTGACAATTTCTATTAGGAATTGTCGTGCTATCTGCCCATCACCTACCTGACACATTTAGACTGAATAATAGCCCACTGAAGCATTTTTCTGCGAATGATTGACCTAGCTAACAGTCATCTGTATGGATGATGACACTGCAGTGAGACACATCCATCCTCACCCTGTTTATAATTGACTGTACCTCATCTGAAGGCCAGAGAATGACAATGGCACCAAGAGGTTTATTGATATGACCTCAAAAGACAGGGAAAGGAACATGGGGAATAAAGAGGTAACACATATTGACAGGTAAGAAGACAGTCCAATTCACTGTGTTTTTTTAGACTTACGTCATGGCCTGGTAGATGGACTCAATCCCATAGCGCATGGCAAACTCATCCACTACTTCCTGTCCCACATCATCGAAGTAGACTTTCCAAGAATCGTCTCCACGAGCCTCTGGAATTTTTACCACACCTTGACCAAGTACATCAGTTGAATGATGGAACAAGTTCTGTAATGGGAAGAAATGGACAGACTTGATCTAATTCACATGAACTTCAGAGCTAACACTAAAGCGTGAGAAGTGATGGTAAAGTTATGGTGGCTTTTTACTGAAACAAATATGATGAGATTGTTGCAATTTACGCTTAATATTATTTTTACTGCATGTGTGTAGAATACAGACTTGAAAAGCTTTGGTTTGACAGATTATAGGATTTTCAGTTTCATAAGCACAGGTCCTTTAGCCCTGATTCAAAATTTGATTTGTTTTTTTCAGGGAAGAGGTTGGATTATGGAAATATCACTGTGCCTTTAATCCTGTCCAAATCTATCACGTCTGCAGTCAATCTGTGCAACACATTGCAACAGCTACAATAGTGGTTGCAACCACTTATGCAAACCCTTTGTGTGGAGAAGTTGCTGAATATCCAGCGTGTCTAGGTAATTAATTGTGATTCTGCAGAATCATATACCTCATGCAAACAAGTATACTGCACGTGATATGGAGCCACTTTCTCCTCTCCTTTGATCTCCACGTTGATTTGGAGGCGAATGGCACCAGACACAGCTGATTTGTCTGTCCTCTTCTCTGTATTTAAGTACAAAACAGTCAATCAGATGCACATCGGGAATGTCTTGATTCATAACTTGAGTCCAAATCTGTGACACCAAAAGCACTCTAAACTAGGTCTGTTAACACAACCCTAATCACAGACTATTAGCTTGGCAATTCTATTGTAAGGGCTTCTGTTTCTACAGTTTGATGGTCGTCCAGAGTCAGCGATGATAATAGAAGTCCTCCAGCTGATAGTGAGTGTAACAAAGGCAATGGGCTGCATGAGTCTGTGCCTGATAACAGAAGACATTTGAGCTAGAGCGTTTCTGGAGGTGGAGTTCTTGGCGGCTCACCCCTGCTATTTGCCCTGACAGGCAAATCATTTGGGGTAATTTGTACATGTCGCTAGAGTGGTCGATTTCCGACTGGAGTGCTGCTACTTGATAATCACATATCAGGAGGTGAAAGGAAGAGAGTCAGAGAGGGAGGGAGAAAGAGATAGTGAAAATGTTTTGTTTTTTTCCCCCCTTTCTCTCATGAACTAGGTATATTACATCATTAATCATTAATTAAGCATTCAAATCCAATTCATAATAAAACCTATCAAAATAAATATTTGATCATACAGTTTTCAGGGAGATATTAAACCAAGCAAGTCAAATCTCCCAGCTTAAAAAAACAAACAAAAAAAAAAAAACCCACACAAAACAACAACAACGGTAGATTTATGGGCACATTCATATTCAGTGACAAGCTGTTGCACTTGAAGATTTATTACTGCTGCTGTCAGGTCAATTTTAGCACTTTAATCAAGTATGAACAAAAAAATGTGCTTAAGAAAAGTGAACGCCTCACCCTTACATACAACATATGAAGAGATACGAAGACGCAGAGACAGTAATTCAGAAATATTATTCTAAAGACAACATTTGTTTGCCCACAAGACTGGGATTAGATTTTATCCTGAGAGGTATTCAAGCTACATATATTCATGCTGCACAACTAGTGCTCATGTAGACTAGCATACAGGCCTGACAAATCAGATCCTGTATACTTGTTAATTATTTTGTTCAGGCATCATCCTAATGAAACTTCCCTGCACACCCTAGGGATAGAATTGGGGGGTTATCGTGAAACTTTTTCCTTAAAATTATCACAACTTCTTGCTAGCAGGGAGAAACTCATTTAAAATGTAATCAAATAAGCTAGTATTTTCATGCAGACCAACACAGGCCTTAGGGAAGCAACATGCCTGGGTATAAATATGTTTGCTGCAGGGAAAGGAGATGTGACTAATGAGGTACAAACAACAGACTGGACTTGCTGAAAGCAAGGCTTTTAGTGCCAAACAAAAACATACAGATGTGAAATTGATGTAACAAGCAGATGAGATCCAGGTTATAAACAGGCATGGTAACATGATACAAGGTGTGACCAAAAGATTGGGAGTAGATATTGGGAGCTTTAGTAGGTATTGATGCATTTAACAAAAAAGATAAATACATAAATAAATTTAGCTGAGCTTTACTTGAAAGTCATATTCACACTACCTCTCAGATTGCGCTGTCGAGGACCCATTATGACCACTTACACTGTGCGTTCTGTGACACTGCCTCCCCTCCACATATACTATACAGTTTTCTTCATGATGTCTATTAAAAAAAGACAAGAAAGCCAACTGACCCAGGTTATACCAGACATCCATTTCTCCGCTCAGCGTTCGGACTTCAATGATGCTCTGTCCCAGGAAATCGTCAGATTCCCTCTTCAGACGCTGCTTCACTCTGGACTTGATGTCATCATCTTCATCCCACACTCGCACTTTGATTCGGTCTGAGGAATTGTGGCACTCACTAACAAAACAAAACAAAACAAAACAAAACAAAAAAAGGAAAAAAAAAGAAACATAAACTGAATAATATTAAGTTACAAGATGATAGATACTACAAGGGAGTAATTAAGGTGAGCACTTACAGCACTACTGATAACAAGCGCTCAAGGAACAACAACAAAAAAAAAAAAAAAAACACCCCCCCCCCCCCCCACAACTTTTTTGATTTCATAACCAAGAAACGACTCACAAATGGAACTTTTCCTCCCAGACTGGATTGAGGTTTCCATAGATGGTCTTTGTTCTCTTCTTGGTCTTGCCCACCTGAACAGTGACATACGGATCACTGGATCCTGTCTTGTCTTTTGCCTGAAGTCCTTGTGCACAAACAACTAACCAAGACATAAGAAACAATAAAAAATTACAGAGAGCACATGTAACATAGCTCCAAAGTTGTCGTTGAGCTGTGGTGGCAAAATACCTGTGATTGTGATCTTGGCTGACCACTTTGACGTCCCATCCAATACGCTTTGTTTGATGGTTTTCATCTGCTGTGCATGGATGGCTTTGCTGATGACAAACACTTCCCTGATCAGCTCAAAGATTTCTGGTTTGTTCCTTTCCCTGATCTTCATCCTGTCCTTCATGGCCATGATGATATTTTGAGTGCGGTCTTCAGCTCCATGCTTAGAGCTCTTCTCTGCCGCACCTAAATATTTATTTAAAAAAAAAAAAAGAAAAAACAGACCGAAAAGGCTTGAAACTAAAAAAATATACATATGCCACTTCAGTGGTTACAAGTTAAATAAAAAAGATTTTTAATGTGGGGAAAATATTCTTAAACATTTGAGACAAAATTGTAATGAAACAGCTTCCCGATAACGTAAAAATGTAGTTTCAGATCCCTGATGGAAACTTCTGTGAAACATTTCCTTAGTACTCACGCTGCAGACAGTCAGCATTCAGTAATTCTTGGCACTTTTCATGGCACTTGACACCACACTCAGAACAACGCATGCCTTGCCGTGCGATTCCCCACAGGAGCCCCTCACACTCATAGCAGTATGTAGGTGTAGTCGCTGTCCACACCTCGAAGTTATGTGGTGTGGTGCAAGATATGGGGTAGATAAGAGCCTGCAGGGTCTTCTTGTAGACATGATTTTTCTACAGAAGGAAGAAGATCTATTTTTAAAAGTCCTAATCCAGGGAAACCAAAAAAAAAAAAAACCCTTATCAGTTATAAGGACGTGCTTATGCTGAAAGGCCGATGGAGTCACAACCATGAAAACTGTGTCACTGGGAAGTTTTTGAAACCGACAATATCCAAAATGCAAAGCAGAAGTTTTTTTTTCCCCCCGCATACTCACCAGCTCCTCATCCTTAATTGATGATCGAGCAGCCATTGCAGATGCGATCCCTGCCTTCCTGGCTTGGACAAGGGACTGAACAACATGACAAAATACAAAGAAAAGAAAAAAAATCAGCAAAGTTTGTGTACAAAGTCAAAACAACCCACAACCAAGCACACTGAAAAACAGTTCTGCAACAATAAAAGTCAATATGGTTAAAAGGTTTGAGGGGTTAGTTATAAAGGTGGTTAATAGAATTGTTATTATCTTTATTCTATGAACTTGATGAACACTTACCATATGGTGAGAACCCATGTGAGTATTATTAGTACCAAGCAAGTTAGCCCAAAGTCAACATTATAAAACATAGACAGGCCTTTGTTAGTAGTTTATTCTATCCAGTCAATTTGATCAAAAAGAAGAAAAACAACGTTAACCAAAAGGTGAGGGAATGACCTGTTGGCAATGTATTTTGATGGGAATGTTGAATAGAAAGAAAAGTAACCCAGGACCAAAAGGACACATGCAAATGTCTTAAATTGTAATAAACAGGAAGTATGGCAGAGATCAACATACTATGCCTGGTAACTACTGTTAACTGTCCTAGTTTATTTTGTACTTCAGTAGAAAAGGGAGTGTCAACTAGGTTCTATAACTTACCATAGCCTGACCAAGGAGAGTGAATGCATTCAAGAGAGTTGTGGGGAATAATTTTGGGTTTAAGAGAGGAGGGAGAGAGACATTAGCAGGCTGATTTCATATTTGTCTCCATTCTTTGAAACAACTCCATCCCAAATTCAGTGTAAAAGAAAAACTAACAAACAAACAAAAACTATTGTTGTACTGGTCTCATTTATAGAAACACTCACAGTAAAGAACAAAGAACAAACTGAATGAGATACAAAATACAGTGTATTTATAGGAAAATAAACAATAGGTGAGTACTGACCACATCGCTGACCAATGGGATAGGCTTCTTTTTACGTAGGTCCGGCATACTGTCAATTCCATACAGACCAGAGCCTCCACTACGGAACAAGCAAAACAGTTTTTATTTAGGTTTAAAATACAAATTTATTTAATCTAACCAAACTTCACCAATACAACACTATGTATAACTTACCCTGTTTTGACCCATGCCTGTCGAGTACTGGGCTCAACATCTCTGACCTGTAAGTATTTTAAATGGGAGAATTTAGGCTAGTGGCTTACAAAGACATAAAGAACTATGTTATGAGAGGAGCGGTGTTTGTGGAACCAGGCTTGGTTGAGTTTGACCTCTCTGATGTCACAGAACATGCAAATTAAAAAACAAACAAACAATAAAATAAAAAAATAATTAAAAGATGGGACTAAAATGAATGCTGCTGAACTCTTTAATTAGGTTAAGTGAAATTAAAGTGTGGACCACGATCACAGTATGTAGATGCAAAACTAAAGAATACATTTTATTTCCAAATAGGACAAAAGCACGCCCACAAAATTTTTGTCCGGGTGATTAAACATGCATAGAAGGGATTTTTTTATTTCTTCCTACAAGTATAACTTTTTCCTTTTTCATTTATTTAGTTGACAGTGGAGTTTCCTCTGGGGTTCTTTCTAATAGATTTTGATAGTGTTTGAAAATATTATGAAGGCGAAAACAGAACGTGACACAAGAAATAACACCACAAACATTGTAAAGTTACAGCAAGCTCCTGGTAAATTATTCTGTAACAGATTAACTAAAGTTATCAGGCAAATGTCTCATTTAGAATGTCAATAATACGTTCAGACTAAAAATTACACATCTATGCAGTCAATACCATATATAATGTGTATTTAGAGCATTATGCTTTGGAAACAACAAGAACTTATGTTGATAAGAAAAGTAAGAACAGTACTGTGTGGGGGGGATGCACACAAATTAATAAATAAACAAACCGAACAAAAACAAAATAATGTAGCTTGAACATGGAGCTAATATATTTCAAGTAACCTGATTATCTTCTCTCCAACAGTCTGCAAAAACAAAACAAAATACAAGTAGCATTATAAATCAAGTTGAGTAGCTGTACATGAGCAAAGTCAAACAATTTTGTAACTAAAGGAAATGCATTTAGTTCACTACAAAAATAAAGATTTGATTTTTGCTGTTATTACCAGGCTTGCAAGTGGTATATATGCAAAAAATAAATGAATAAATAAAATACCTGATACAAACTCATCTTGAGACTGAGATCCTTGGGACCCTTGGGAGCCTTGAGAACCATGGGATCCCTGTGCAGATTTGGACAGTCTATGACGAGTTTGCCTCTTTTCTCTTAGAATACGTTGGAAATTCTCTATACGTGCTCTGTGACTGGCATCAGTTAGCCTGCCTTGCTTTTCATCAGTCAGCCTTTCTTGATTTTCTTCATGAAGAACATGGTTTTCCCTTATGGGACTTAAGCGCACCTCCTCTTGGTTACGAACTGGACTTTCATCCTGCCTTGTTGCATACTGGTGGTCAGGCGTTATATCAAACTTGGACAGTTCTTCATCTGTTGAATAGTCTCCTTTTCCTTGTGAAATCTCTACAGAGTGATATTCTGTTGGAGTTCCAGGAGAGGGGCTTGCTTTATGTGGAGATGCTTGAAGGGAGCATGATAGATTCTCGTGCATCTCAAGACAATCCATGTAGACTGAAGGATCACTGTCCTCCTTTGAGGTGGCAAAGTGAGGATAATTCTCTGTAAGGCTAATCTCTCCCTCTGTATAATCTACAGTGATATGCTCATCCTCAGGTTCAGAAATTTGTTTACCCAAGGATGGGGGTGCCTCTGTACCACTATCATCTTTTTCATCTTCGGTATTCAAACCTTCCAACTTTTTGAAAGCCCCTTTTAAAGCTGACCTGACCGTGAGTACAGCCTTGCTAAAACTTATTGCATCAAAACCTACGTCAGCAGTCCTGGGTGTGCTTTCAGGATCTATTTCAGGTGACTCTGGTGACAGTGTTTCTCCTACATCCTCCCTGGAAATGCTGTGATCTGTCCACTCTCTGTCCAAACTCTCAGCAGAACCGAGATCGAGAGTGTCCCCAGATGACGGGCAATAATCACATGGTGAATGTGGCTCTAAATAACCATCATCACAGTCTGTCAACAACACAGTGGAACAGCTCAAGCTCCAAGAGGGCCCACTCTCAAGTTCATTCGCACAGGCATCTGTGGTGTGGTATCCAGAACTACGTGAAAATGGACAGTTTGCAGCACAGTCGCACTCCAAGTTTTCTCCCTCAGCTTCCTGTCTCAGAGGCCTCCAGTCCACCTGACTGGAAGAACTTGAAGGTGAATTATAATGGGTTCCAAACAACAATGAAAGGTGCTCTGAACTGTTGTGAGAAGAATGACCTGGTGTGCTGCTTTGTGTGTCCTCTCTTGCACGTCTGTTCCAAACTCCTAGAAAGCTCTCAAGCTCTTCTCCACTGTTTGCACAAGAGGAAACATCCTCCTCACTCCAACCACCTTCTCTACTAATACTGTGCTGAATATCAGCAGTTGGCCATCTGCTATACTCCGTGTCACCAGGAAGAAAGGCTGCCTCTGGATAATTGGAGCTCTGACATGATGACAATGAGCTAGTACTTTGGTAGTTTTGGTCACAGTGAAGCTCCAGGTAACAGACATCAGACAAGCGCATGTCTGAACTCTGCTCCAGGTACTCTTGATCTTTTTGATGGACTGTTCTGCAAGTGGCTTGATCATGCCATTGTTTGGGGGATCTATGTGATGATACATATCCTGAATCTCTTCCATAATCATTGCAGTCCAGCAAAGGATTGGGATCACCTGTGTGAGGAGAAGAGATTGCATTCTGCCTATCCAGACTTCCATGCCTGGTGTGACGTGTTTGAGAAACAGGGCTAGGATGCGTTACAGCTGAAGCCCCGGAATATAGCTCACCTATTTCACTGAGCACTGCATCGACACAACAAGATACTTCATCCACTGAGCCTCGCACAGACGTTAGATACTGCCTCAGGTCAGAAATTTCCTCTTGGATCTTATTAATTCCTTTCAGCTCCTTCAGGATATGCTCCACTACGTTACTATGGTCTGCTTCCTCATCCTCCATCTTCTGCCTCCATTCCTCATTTGTGATTCTTTCAAGAATCTTGGGGATAGAAGCCTCCACAACTTCACTGCCATCTTGGCAATCAGAATTTCTGTCTTTCTCAGATATGGTGGGGTTAGCTTTGGTTATTGTTTTGCTGACTGATATCTGGTCATGAAATGAATTATCTTCTGGTGCCTGTAGACACTTCTGTAGTTTTTTACAGAGACTTTGCCCTACATTGGGAAGCTGTGTTTTTTTCTTCTGCAGCTCACTCTTCTTGGGTGAGAGTGGAACTGGCTCCAGTTCATTGGGTTCATCCTCTCCACTGACGTGTCCTCTGGGAAACATCCCTGAGAATTGGCACTTGTGATCAACTGTTCCTACACATGGAGATATCACTGCCTCTGTGACTCCTCCTTAAGATGGGTCAAGTATAAGCCAGCATCTTAACCTGCATATGAGTAAGTATCTGCAAGTAAGTTATTTTGTTGAAAAAGCTTTGAAAAACCATGTGATTATTATGCCTACCAGCTCTCTGTTATCAGATGGCAGCTAAATATGATAAAACCACCACATGAACTTTGGAACTGTCAACTTGCCCTACTACCAACAATTAACTAAAACACAGGTACATAAATAAAACAAGTACAGGAAAGGTAATGATAAAGTATGCAAATGTATGCATTTTGAAAGTAGTGATTTTAAATGTAAACTCTTTTTTTTATAATTCCCTCAATGAGAAAGTAATTTATCTTTCCCATTTTTATTAAACCCATCAAGTGAAAAACACAGACACATAAAACTTTACTTTTTTATGACCACTAGCTCAGCCCACAGTGGAGTTCTAATTCTGACTATGCACAATATTTTAAACACTGGACAGAAAGTTCATTTGCTTTCTGGATTAAAGACATCCCATATGGAAAAGAAATAGTAAAAACTTATATGATTTACTCATGAAAGTGACCACTTTCTCAATACTTTCATATATTGTTTTAGTAAGTATCCAAAACATACAAGTTTTCATTTATATAATTTTTCAAGGGATCTTATATGTGTTTTCACTCTTGTATGCTTTTCATACAAGTTTCAAGCAAGACAGATACAAACTTTATAAGATTTATATACATCTTTTCCGGGATGGCTGAATGCATTTCAGCACACATGGAATACCTCTATGAGAGACTACACTACTCTCCACAATACAAATGCTGGATAGACATTGTTTTAACTGAGAGTCAGTGAGAGTGGCAACTTCCAGAATGAACGCCATGCAGCTGCTTAGATCTCTGTAATTAGGATGCTTTGGAAAGACAGCACAGTAATTAGATGACAGGTCAATTCTCTCCTCTGAGGCCATGCCATTCTTACACACCCTTACCAGCTGCATGGCTTAATAGCTCTGATCCATTGGTACACACTGGAATGACAACTGAATACCCCGACTGTAACATAAATCTGGTTCTGGCATTACTTCATTCACAGAGGGCATTTACCATAGCTCTGTGATTTTGTCTTCTTCACTGAGACAATTACCAAATTCTCAAAAATGTAGAAGATGTTGCAGTGGTTTCAAGGTCAAGTTCTGTTCATCATCCCTGCTTTAATACTGCTTGTAACTCAAATTAAGGAGTTTTAATTGGACACGGCAGGATTTCTTAGCTCTACAAATAGTGCACTATATAATTCTTTTGAGATTTGTAAATGCTACTTTAAAAAAATATTATTAATAATATCATAATTATATTATATTTAAAAATCGTAATAAAATTCACACTTATCTCTTCCATCTCTGTGACTAAATATCTGGGTAAAAAAAACCATAGGAGGCCTTGGCTTCTAAAATATAAATTACAAGAAAATTAAACATTTTATAGAGTTGTAATATTTTCATTTAAGATGGCCTCAGACTAAAGTAAGCTTATTTCTGGGGACTTTCTCTGTATTTTACAATACCTTTGTAGTCAATTTGCTTTATAACATAACTATACCTTGGCAAAGTTTTAGGAAAGCAAATGTCCAATTCTATTAAGTAAACTAATCCAGGGAGTGCATAATATAATTGCTAAATACATTAACACACCCCTGCACTTGAGGTCTCCAATAAGCACTTTAGCACAGAAGGTGTGTATTACCCTGATAAGCGTTTAGTGGGTAGAAATGTATAATCAGCCAATCAAAACTGACTGTTTCAGTCACCAATCTGAGAATGAAAATAAGCTGATGATCTTATCAGCTGAATGGAATCCCCCTATCCTACATTTACAGGCAGCAATGTGCTTCACAATAAAATTACAGTTATAAATATTATTTTATTCCATAAAATAATTATTAATAGCCATATTTAATTTACAAACATACCAACTAATGCTAGTTTTAGACATACTTGATGAATATGTGTAAACAAACAAAGTCGCATCAATGTGTAACTAATTAATTGATTGATTGACTGATTGATCATAATAACTGAGGGGCAGGTAGGGGTTCGGGCCATATTCCAAGTGAGTCAATCTTCAGCGGTCTCCCTTTCCCCCCCCCCTTTCCTTATTAAATAATCCACAGCTTTCATTAAAAAGAAAGAAAAAGAATAAGTAAAAAAGGCATCTTGCTTTTGACTTTTTTAGCTGGCTTCTTATCAATGAGTGAGATTTTAGAATACTGAAAGAAAGAAGAGATCCCTTCTTGACATTTAATTGGCTAAACATGGTTGCGTATCCATGCACTACAATACTACATCTTCCATACAGTAACTTGTACAATCTATATTTTTAATCAAAGTATATGTTAAATATATATTTAACATAAATATACTAAATAAAATGTAATCCTTACCTTATCAGAAAGAATGAACAACCTGTAGATACCATCTTATAAAATTGATTAATTCCACATGGAGGGTTGCTCAGCAGCTCGTAATAGCAATTCCCTGTATTTTATAAAAATATTTACCCAGTTGTACTGGTGAACATTGTTAAGTGTCAATCAAACCAGCAAATCTTCCTTCAAGTTAAAAAAAATATACAAGTGCTGAGTTCCTGATTTCTACAACCGAATTAGCCAGCACAGCACAAGTAGATGATCACACAGCAGTTCACCCTCTGTTAAGTAGCTATCCCTCCCACCCTCTTGCATGCTTTCACTGCACTAGCTCTCTCTCTCTCTCTCACTGTTCTCTGGGAGTGTATTCCAGTGCAAACCTAATCTGAGGGTGTAAGACTACCAGCTTTTAGCTGATCACAGTTACTGTAAAGAGTCATTTGTCAAAATGTATTGTTTTTAAAACTTCAAAAACATTCAAGCTAAACACATTGGCAGTACTACTATCCCTGAGTGACTAAATGAGAATTTGTGGAGTCGAAGGATAATGTGTATAAACTTTAAAGCATATCTCATCAAGTATGGGTTATGGATTTGCCTCCCATGATTCCTTGCTGTCGTCAAGTGTGATTAAATTACTACAATCTCATTCCAAACCTTTCTTTGAAAATAAACAAGCACGTATGTTTTAGGGTATCAAATCTAGCATTTTCATTATGCTAGTCACTGTGACACCACACGAAAACTTTCCAATTCTAATTAATTATAATCTTTACCAGCAGCCTTGTGTGATAAGTATTTCCTTGCATCATTTAATGATTAGCACTTAGACAGCTTTCACCCTTGATTTATACTCATGTCTTCAATCACTCATTTATAGTTCATGTTCATCTCAACCACTTCATGGAAGTCATCATTATTATAATGAAGGCATGCAAGGGCTATATGCCCTGCTCCTTGATTGCCATGCTGTTAAAGCTTTAGTCAGGGAGGATGAACTATAGTTATGACTAACAAATCCCAATATTGTCATTATGAACACAGTAAAGTCCAGTCTTTCTGACTGGTCTTAAATTATTAAATTTAACATCTAAACTTAAAATTCTCCAGAAATGGTAATGCAGATTGCACCTATATTTGGTCACATTACAGTTGATTCCATAATGCCACAATTGCCTTTTTAACAAAGGTCATTTGATTTGTAAAAAACAAACAAACAAACACACACAAACACTGGGCTAAAGATACTGATTACAAGCTATACAGTATATGGAGATATGTGTCACTGCATATATTCTGTTTTCGCACATTCTGATAAAATACACAACAACCGTTTAGTAAAAGAAACATAAACATAAAAAACATAAAAGAAACACAACATAAAAAGAAATACTGGTAGCCACCGCTACACCACAGCCTTCTAACAGATGTAAATACGTAAGATTTTAGTTGATTTTCAAAAAAGTTGACATCTGAACTTGACCTTGAGTTCAAGGTCACTGAGTTCAAAGATTTTTAGTGGCTGCAACTTGGTAATTATTTGAAAATCTTTGGTGACGTCCTTCTTGAGTTATCGCTTTCAGGAGATTTTCAGATTTTATCCCTGAATTTGTCAAACATAGCAGATATCCTTGGAAGAAGAACATAGTAAGGACTTTTGTGAGCAAAACATCTACTAATTCAATATAGATTTTTCATGCAGTGAGTAATCTGCCTAAAATCAACACTATATTTCTTATTTTGAGTACCACATGAAGAGAGTAAATTCCACATTTAAGACTCAATAAGATGGAGAGGAGACAAAGATATCTCATATAAGTTACAAAATGAAGACTACTTAAAAATTAGAGGATCATAAAAACTTTTGCTGGGTAGTTTTAACAGAGGAGCACATTGTTAGTCGTGTGCCTGCAATTAGGACACCAATTCACTAGAAGTAATATCATTCTAGTACATTTTAGTGCATCTGCATGAACATTCAGAGAGACTAAACTCAACCAGTTTCAAAGGATTGTATGTATAAACGTGCTTGCAAATGTTGTGTGTACAAGGACTGGGAAAAGAAGAAAGTTGGAATTAAGGGTTAATAACAGATTGAACATTGTTGGAGGAACTGAAGTTAAAATACTACATACCTCCCGCAGTTGAACTCTGACTTTAGTGATGGCCTTCATCCAATGAAGTCTGGATTGGGAAAAGGGTAATGGTGGTCCATCATCATCATGGAAACTAGGTCTAGGTTACATGGATTGAAGCATTAGATGAAAAGAAGAGAAAGAGGAAATCTCTCAGTTCTCAGGCATTTTCATTATATCAAACACATTTGAATTACAAGCAAAAATGTACCTGTGGAGTTTGGGGGATCCTGTCTCTGCTGTAGTATCACTTTTTATGTCCTGTCTTTTGTCAGGGGACAGCCTATCCATCTCCCGCTCACTGACCACAGAGTGTCCATTGATGGAGAGATTTGTGCCATTTGTGCATAGCTGCCCATTGGTAGAAGGGTGAAAACCAGTACTATGATAGGAGTGGAAGGACTCCTCCAGTTCTGACCCTCCAGTGCTCTCGTGGCCAGTCTCACTAAGCTGGGAGCTGGTCTGGCTAAGATTTCCTGATGACCCAAAGCGACTACTTTCCACTGGACTACAATGGTGAGAAAGGAGTGAGAAAAACATTCAGAATGGTGAAATATCATTTCTGAATATTTTATAGTTTTAAGTTTGCACTACAAAAGACTGAATGGATTCGTAAAATATGATGATTACTAGATGTACACGTAAAAAAATATTTAACAAATGAAAGTGTATAAATTAAAGCAGAATTCCATGACAATGTTGCAAACAACTTAATTCATAAAATGTATATAGCCCAATTCACAACAAGTCGGCTCAAGATGCTTTACTCAATTGCTGAAACACATACACGTGTGTGTGTGTGTGTGTGTGTGTGTGTGTGTGTGTGTGTGTGTGTGTGTGTGTGTGTATATATATATATATATATATATATATATATAATGATAATAGTAATAAGAATGTTTGAGTACAATGTAGATACAGCCAGAAAGTTAAAACTCAATACAACATTGTTGTGGAATTCGGATTTAAAATGACAAATGATACAGCAGATACTAAACACAAAAAGGCCACACTGAACAACACAGACAAAGACACAAAATAACTAAATTAGTGAAAATTGACTGCAAAGCTGAATAGGAAAAACTTTTTTTCCCCAAAATTCCCACTTCACAAATGGGGGCAGGGAGGGAGGATGCCATTTATTGTACTTTTACTAGCCTTTTTGTATTCAACAGAAGATTAGACTGGTTGTCCAGCTGCACTCCAGAGTTAGGACCTGCAGAGGGGTGAATTTCTACAAGCCTTTCCTCCTCTTTTGGGGTCAGGGATGCTGAAGGATCTACATCAGGAGTGGAGATGCAAATCTGGGGAGTTGCTATATCATCTGTGGAACCTACCGGTACAGTTTTTTCGGCTTCAGTTGTTTCGACCTTTTGTACAGTCTCATTGCTTGCTGAACTGTTGTTAGTTTGGAGTTGAGAAGTTATAACTGGGACAGCTTGTGATTTGGATGGCTGTGTCTGCTGAGGAAAACCTGCATTTTCCCCCAGTAATGAAATGGTGGATGGCTCTTGTTTTTCAGTATTAGGTTTTTCCTCTTGAAATACGCCTCCAGAAAGGTTTTTCAGCCCTGAAATTAGGCTACTACCTCCTTCTGTCTGAGACAATGATGAAGCAAGTGATGGTGCTGATGACATCAGGGATCCAAGAGATTTTACTGCATTGCTCTGTGCTGATATAAACCCAAACAAAGACTTAGCTTGAGAAGACTCTGCATTGTTGGGCAACTGATTAGGAGGTAAAGTAACATTAACATCTGCCTCTGTTACATCAGGTGGGACTGACTTGTCACTTTCTTTACTCTCAGGGTCCTCTTTAATAACCATGGGCTTCTCATGTATCACTTCTCCCTCCCCTTCTGGCTTTTCTTTTTCATTGTCAACTACCTGATGAATGACAGAAATGTCTTTTGCTGCACTTGAAACAGTAGAAGTTTTTAAACAAGCTGTTTCAGCTTCCCCAGCACTGTCATTTATTAAGCTGCCAGGCTTCACTTGATCTTTATCTTGCAATGTTGAGCCCATCATATTTGCACTGGTGATTGGTTTGGGTACCGCTGGCACAGATTCAGATGGCTTAGGTGGTTGTCCCATTGCACTGGCTGTTGGTTTTGGTATAGCTGGCACAGATTCAGATGGCTTAGGTGGTTGTCCCATAGCCCCAAACAAAGATCCTCCTATGCCACCAAGTAAAGTTGATGCTCCAGTTTGTGATCCTGCAGTCTGACCAGTAGCTCCTCCAAACATACCTCCAAACAAAGAACCACCAGCATGAGGTGTAACTCCAGAAGCTCCAAACATTCCACCCAGTAATGAGCCACCACTCTGGGGAACTGCAGATTTGGCACTGGATCCTCCCCCAAACATCCCACCTAATATTGAACCTCCGGTGGTGGGGGCAGTGGCTTGAGTAGCAGACTGAGGAGCGGACCCTTTAAATAAGCCTCCAAGTAATGATCCACCTGTCTGGGGAGACGCTGCCTGGGCACTGGGGCCTCCAAAAATACCCCCTAGTATTGACGCACCAGTCTGAATGGAGGAAGGTTGGGGTGCTGTTCCTCCCAATCCAAAAGGCTTTTGCTGTTGCTGACCTTCAGTGGGAGTAGGGGTTGGTTTGAAAAGGGTGGACGTGAAGCTAGTAACTGTATCTGACTTGTCTGGTACTGGAGGTTTCTGCTGTTCTTGGACCAAAGAACTTACAGACTGAGGGAATGGCATTTCCTCTTCTGCATTAGATGTTTTTGTATCTTGACTCAACTGACTACTACCTGCAATCTCTGAATTGACAATTTGTTCTGTTGATGCACACATTTCAAACTCTTTAGACTGATTTTTTTCAGATAAAGCAGTTTGCTTATCAGTATCTTGGCAACTTACTTCTTCTATGAGACTATCCTCACCTTTAGACAAGCTTGCAGCAAGAGGCTGAACTTTATTCTCAAGTGTATTTGGGATTTCCACTTGATCGTTGCTTTTGATCAAAGTATTAATTTCACTTGTATCACCACCAGTTGAAACAGTTTTACTGTCAATGGCTTTTTGCTGATCAGTTACAGTTGATGTAGTGCTGTTGAGAGTGGTAGTTGATATTTTTTCATTATTAGATGTTGGAGTAGTTGTTGCATCTGAAGTAGATCCTCCAAACACTGAAAACAAACTTGTGTCATTTGGACCAGAAGCGCCAGTTAAAATACTACCTAGAAGAGATGTACCTGTCTGTACACCAGCTGTTGGAGATGGTGAACTGCCCAAAATCCCTCCGAATATAGAGTTTTTATTTTGAGTTGCGGAAGTCTGATCAGCCCCACCAAAACTTCCACTTGTGGACCCACTAGTCTGCACAAGAGATGAAACTGTTGAACCACCGAATATACCACCCAAAATAGACCCAGCAGACTGGGATCCAGCAGCCTGGGAAGCAGATCCTCCAAATAAGCCTCCAAGTAATGATGACCCTGGCTGTGATCCTGTAGTTTGGGGAACAGAACCACCAGTCTTGTTGAGACTAGCTTGTGGAGCAGTCTGCGGTACAGACCCTCCAAATAACCCACCTAGCAATGATCCTCCTACTTGAGATGATGGTGTTTGAGGTGAAGAACCTCCAAACATTGCCCCTAACAGAGAACTTCCAGTCTGTGAAGAGGGCTGAGGGGCAGAACTTGCAAACACTGAAAATAACCCCTTGGCTGATTGATCTTTCAGGCCCGATGATCCAGGTGTAGATCCTGTAGTTGACAGACCTGTTTTGGTAGAACTTGGCTCAGTGCTGGGTGTAGAAAATAAAGAAAGGAAACCTTTTCCTGGCTCATCTGAGATAGATCCAGTTGAAGATGGAGGATGTGGGTCTGATCCACTAATCACAGAGGCTGAAGGTTCTTTAGAAAAAGAAGGATCCTGGGGTGCACTCTCTGTGCTCATTTCCTTATGCACAACACCACATTCTAAATTTGAGTGCTTAGACATAACATCACTGGCTTCAAATGAGTCACCACAAGTATTTGTGGTAACTACTGTAATATCACTAGATGGGACAGCATGCACTTGACAGGAGTTACTATCAGATTTGTTCCCTGAGAATTCACTAGAAGGGGCATCTTTGAGGACATGGTCACTTGAAATAAATGCCATCTGGGAAGAACTTTGTTGTGAATGAATAGCTGGGGACTCTTTGGCAGAGGTGGCAGCAGATGAACTGGTAGTCTGTTGTGGTGTTGGCAAAACATCGTTAAAAACAGAACACATACTCTTGGTTGGTTCTTTTGGGACTGCAGTCCCTGGTGTGTAGGGCATGTTTGTATCTCCTCCAGTTCTTGGTGGTTGAGGGGAACTAGGACCACTAAACACGGAAAACAATGTTTTTCTTGGATTTTCAGTAGAGGCAGACAATCCACCGAATATACCCCCAAGAACAGAGGTAGCTGTTTGTCCTTGTGGTAGAGGCTGTTCTTGTGGTTTAGATTGTGCCTGTGGTCCCCCTTGTTGTTGAGTTTGTGACTGGACTACTCGTTCTTGAAATGGTCTTGTTGATGACGGTGTTTGTGGCGGGTTGGGATCACTAAACATTGACAACAGCCCCTTCATTGGGCTTTCAGCTGAACTTGATGACCCAGGAAGAATTCCCCCTAGAAAAGATCCAGTTTGATTTTGAGATTGTTGGGTGCTGTGACTGCCGAACATTGAAAGGAACCCTGTAGATGGAGGATCCTTTGGAGGGATAGTTCCCCCCTGTGGCGCCTCAGTGTTGGGCCTGGTTTCGTTAGGAGGTGCATGAGGACTTGATGCTGACAACTTTGATAATAAACTTTTACCAAGTGTTTCCTGTTGAGAAGGCTGTGAAGGTGTGCTTGATGGGTGTGTTTGAGACAATGTCCCAGATTTATCTGTAGTCTGCTGAGTATTTGGCCCTGTAAACATTGAAAATATAGTTTTACCAAGTGATTCTTCCTGTTGACCAGTAGGACCAGACTGGTTAGATGCTGCTGATCCCCCGAATATTTCTCCAACTGAAAATCCAAACAGTCCACCAGATGGTTTACTTTCAGTTTCCTGCGTTGTTTGTGCAACAGGCGGCACAGATTGTGAGTGGCTGGCTGCAGAGCCTGTAGGGATACTCTGAGTAGACACTTCCAATATATTTTTATCTGGGATTAGGCTCTGCATGGGCCTAGATGAGCCACTTTGGTCTAACGTTTGCTGTCTCTGAATACCTTTAGATCGAGATGCTGATGTTAGTGAATCCTCTGTAACACTAGGTTTGATTTGCTGTTTTTGTGGTTGAGAGGGCTCAGTGCTAAACAGATTACTGATTGACCCCAAAAGATTTGAAACTCCTGTAGCCTCTTTATTTGTAGTGGCACTTCCTGGTAAGGAGCTTGTGCTGCCAGTTTTGCTCTGTTGATTTGGAGATGTGTCAGTAAATTTATTGAGAACTGGTTTGGTTTCCTCCATTCCTACTGCAGATTTTAGGAAGTTCATCAACCCTGCTTGTGGTTGTTCAGATGGTTTTCCCACTGGTATGTCCATCGGTTTATCAGATGTAGGTTGTCCAGTTGGTGCAGGTTTACTAAGATATTCTTTTGATCCTAAAGGCACTGTCACATTGAGGTTTGTTGGTGGAGTCACTTGTTGTACCATGGTAGTCTGCCGCGAAAGTTTAGGTTTCTGAGTTGCATGCAAATTTGTTGAGTGTGTTGCAGGGTGAGTCACTTGAGGTGCTGTTGGTACTGTGGGCAAAATTCTACCCTGTTTGGTAACTGGCATTTCAATTTGTTGTTTAAAGCTTTCTGTCTGAGTTACAACGGCAGTAGATTCTTCTCTGATGATCTTAGACTTCAGACTCTGAAATCCTGATGAAAGGATGCTTTTAGATTGTTTGTCAGTGGCTTGCTCACATGTGGACTTATTAGAACTGTTCAATTCAACCTGTGATGTTTTGCTGACAAAAGAGGTTATTAGGGAAGAAATCTTCTTAACCTGACGATTAGGTTGCTGTTCTCCTGGAGACACTCTTTTCCTCCATTCTTCCTCTGATACATCATTCACATGTTTTATTGTAACAGCAGTTGATGAACGCCGCTGTTGGCTAGGTTGGTAACAGTTGTAAAGTAAGTGTTGATTAGAATTTGCTGTAGGAGTAGAATTCAGGGAGACCGAAACTTTTTGAGCAAGAAATGTCTTTACTTCCTGGTTATTCCAATATGGGCCAATATGATCTCTATTATGACATGAAAGGTCAATGATGTCATTACAATAATCTTGATATACATAACTAGGCTGTCTTGGATCCATCTTAACTTTGTTTAATGTATAGGATGAGAAATCCACACCAGGCTGCCCTTGAGACAGAAATGAATTCTCAAACATTTGAGAGAATTGTTCAAGATTTAAATTCATAATCTCATTTCCTTTTCTGTAGGCAGCAGACAAATCTAGGGGGGCATTTAGAAGTTGAGAATCTCTGTGATCTTGACCTGGAAGCCAAAGAAGCTCATCTTCATTGTAAAGTGGAATTTTAAAGCCACAGACTAAAACCATCTCATTCTTCAGCCAAGCACTTGGAAAACTTTCTAACTGCTGTGCATTTCCCCAAGATTCACCTTCAGGGGCACATGCATACACATATTCTCCCACTGCATCTGTAAGTAAAGCATAAATATACTCATGATCTGTGTAAACAAAGTAGCCACAGTCACCGTCTTCTGCTGGCCACCACATTCCTTGCTCCAAAAGTGCCAGCCACTGTTGATACCATTCAGTGTCTTCAAGGTACAGGGAGTCTTCGAGGTCTATATTTGCCCTTGGAGGATCTACTGGTCTATTCAAATTAAGCTGACTGTGATGGATCATGCCATTGGTGTGAACATGCTGTGAGTCTGGATTATCCATTCCATATTGCCAGTTAGCTGAATAAGATAAGCTTGGAGCAGTTTCTTCATAATACCCTTCATGATATGAAACACCATTCAAGCTATAAGTGCTACCATCATTAAATGAATGCCATTTCCCAAACTTGGCATTACTCTGTTTAGTAGTTAAGTTCAACACACCTTCCTCATTGGGTAAATGTTCTATATTTCCCAAGTCTTCATAACTATTCCATAATTTTCTCTTTGGATATAGATCATCATTTCTATATCCTTCACACTGATGTGGTTTATATTTTTCTTGGTGATAAACAACACCTTGCCATTGCACAGTGTTCTGATTCTCAGGTACTGGTAATGGTGTACTTTCAGAACTCAGCCTATATCCTTGATTCTCTACTGGGAAATGATAACCTAGTGACTCATCCTGAAACTGCTGCCACAGAGCACTTTCACGGATCCACTGGTTTTCATCATAAGAGGGACTTACTGCATATGCAGATAACTGATAAAGGTTTTGACTTGTAGCACTGTATAAAGATGGAGAGCTTCCACCAATATATGGATGCATGGTCATGACTGGTGAAGTTGCACAACTTTGTAAAAGGGAATGGATATTTCCTGCACTATAGGCCATTGGGTTAGTTGACCTAAATGAACCAGAATTATATAACTGAGGCAAATTACCAGTGCTCACTGAGGAGTATGTCGTGCAGCTCTGAAGAGATCTTGCAAAAGTAGCTGATGTACGCAAATCCAAACTCTCAGTATCGACTGACACAGGTACACTGATTAAAGCATGTCTACTCTTTCCTGGATTGAGAGAATCTGGATTGTCTTTTTGTAAACCATCCCTTCCAAGGTTTACATTAGCATTTGTTAATATGTCAGAATAAGACTCTATGAACTTGGCTGAAGTAGTCTGTTGTCCACTTATCTGACTTGTTCTTTTCTCTTTTTCTGCCTTTTCTTTTGATTGTTGTTGTGTCATATTATTGTGTGGCTGTTTTTGCAGTGGGCTTTTCATTGTAACTGTATAATTATTGGCCCTTTCTTGAGGTGGTTGTTCTGTTGATGTTTGACAGGTTGTGTGAATACTTTCATTTGATTTTGTAAACTTGTTTAAAAACCCTGAGAGCACTCCCGATTGACCCGCTGTCTCTATCTGTGTTGGATCAGTCTGGTTATGTGGTATTTTGTTTTGCTGTTGTGTTTCATAGGTGTTTTTGGGCTGCAACTGTTGAGCTGTGTTTTCTGAAGGGGATTTAAAAAGTCCAGACAACAGACTACTTGCATGTGTTGTTTTTTGCGTTGTGCTATTTTTTGGCTGATCTTGACTAGAAACTTGGATATTCGTTGTCTTTATTGGCTCATTATTGGATTTGCTTAGTGTCAATCCATGCTGATGAGCTGATGGTTGACTTTGTGTGTTTATGTTGTCTGCTGAAGCAAATTTGAAAAGTCCAGATAGAAAACCACCTTGTTGGGATGGTGCTTGCTGAAGTGGAACAGTCTGCTGTCGAGCAAATCCTGGTTTATTTGTCTCGTATCGGACACCTTGGTGATTCTGAGGAATGTTTTTAATAGGATGACCTTGGCTTGGACCTTGAGTACTCAGTTGGCTTGGACCTTGTTGACTGCTTTGGTGGTGAACTGTTTGACTCCTTGAAATATTCTCAGAGGATTCAAATTTGAGCAAGCCAGATAGCAGTCCCTTTTCTGCAGTGTGTGTTTGCTGAGTTCTGTGTGAAGTCTGCTGCTGACCAAAGTAATTGCCGGGAATATTCCTTTGTGCTTCACTATCACGAGATTGTCCCTTTTGTTGCAGGTTTTTGGTAGATGAAATGTTCAATAAACCTGAGAGAAGGCCCCCCATCTGTGGAGTTGAAGAGGTTTGTTCTGGGGCCGTGTGTTGGGAAAATTGTGTGGGATTATTTCTGTTGAATGGCTGATTGTTAGCATGCTGTGATAAATGGCCAGATAAGTCACTACTAGAGCCAAATGTAAGAATTCCAGATAGCAGTCCACCTTGTTTTGGTTGATTGACAGTCTGCTGCTGCATTCCAGATTTCTGATTTGATGTATGTTGGGCTTGTGAGACAGATGACAGTTTACTGTTCTGAGGTTGCTGATTACAGATTACATTCTGGTCTAGACCAGAGGGTGCTGGGGTAGGGTTGAATATGCTGGAAAACCACCCTTTCTCACTATTTTCCTGGTGCACAGGAGGATTCTTGGTCAAGGTGGTCGAAGTTGTTGAAGTCAGATCATGCTGAGGATTCTGTGTTTTTATGGAGGCACTGATGTCTTCACTGGATGCAAACTTTAAAAAACCAGAAAGCACACCACCTTCTGCTTTGGGACGTGGCTGAATGGAAACGTTTTCAGATGAAGAGAAAGGTACTTTAGGCTTACTAGTCAATGCTGGGTCTTCAACTGGTTCCTCTAGTTGGGGGCTCTCTGTGGTTCTAAACACTGGATAAACTGCCACAGGTGGAGCTCCGTGGGGGGGAACAGGGGCAGCAGGTGTGATCAGAGAACTTAATGACTTCTTAAAAGGGCTAAAGAAACTGGTGTTTACAGAATGTGTTGGCCCAGTTGACCTTTCTGGCTCTGGAACAGGAATACTCCCTTTATTCAAAATTGACTGAATTTGTGTCTCATATAAGTTTCTATCACAATTTTGTCCTGAATATTTTTCATGTGAAAGTCTTCTTAATTTTTCTGATTCACTACCTCTGTTATCAAGCCATCTCTCTTCCAATTGTGTATGACTCTGAGAACATGTGGATTCCAACGCCTGTTTGCATTCAGCCAAATTCACATTATCAGCTGAAAAAAGCTTCAAAGGATTTAATCTACCCAAGACTGAGTTTTCTGGAGCACTTTGAGGTTTGGTTACAAGCTTGGGTACATGGTCTTTTGCACTTGTTTGAGTCTGACACCTGCTGGGAGTTTGTGTTTCTTGATGATGACTGTGTATTTTGGCATCATGTGGTGGGTGAGAAGGCAAAGAATTGAATGACTTTTCAGGAGAACTTTCTACTGGAGAGACAATAGCTACGGGAGCTGTGTTATTTGACTTAGGAATGAAGGACAACAATTTTGTTAGTCCAGATTGTGAGGATTGTGCAGATGATACTTGTGGAGATAGGGCAGGTTGTTTAGGGCCTCCACCAACTTTGTCAGTGAGAGAAGTAAACAATGAGCTCATGGCATTTTTTACTCCTGAAATGCCCTGATCAGAAGCAGCATGTGATTGGGATTCTTCTCTTAAATCCTTTGAATTACTTTGCTCCTCCCCAAATGAATCAGTTCTATTGCTACCATAGGAGGACAGCCTAGACTTGCTTGATTTAGGCAGGGATCCATATTTGCTAATTTCCTCTTCTTTTTCAGCCAGGTATTCAGACACTGTTTCAACAAGACATTGAAGCTCATCCATAGGATCAACATATTCATCACTTGGCTCTTCTACAGGAGAGAGCATTGCCTCTGAAACCCATCCTCCTGATTTAGGTTTCCCATACTTCTCCCAAAGGCACTGTGAATGTTCTATGTGGTCCTCATAGGAGAAAGAATGCCTATCTTTATAATGTCTTTTGTTCTCTGAGCGACACTCATCAGCCATAAAGGCAATGTCATTAACACTGTCCTCTGCTCCTATAGGGTGGTGCAGAGGGTTCTCCATTTCAAAATCAAACTGTGCCTTCCTTCTAGCATCTTGACCTTTTTTGTATGCCACATAATTCTCCAAAGTGCTGTCCAGCTCATTTTTAGCCCACATCCTTGTTTTGTAGAGAAGCCCATTCTGATATGGTCTCAGATCTGATGTCATACGCTCCTCCTCTTCCTGCATCTCTGCTACCTGTCGCATGAAAAGCTCCCCTCTTTTCTCACGGAGGAGTGCAAGGTCAGCGGGAAAGGTCTCTTTTCTCATTTTGTCTGCTTCTGGACTGAGAAACCCTCCTGGGTCTGTAATCTTTTTCTTTCGCCGACGATCAATAGTATCATAACCCTCAGGATAGGTGGCAGGCAGACCACCACTATGCTTTGTATTCTGATGGATAGGTGAATGTGATAGCTCGGAGTAGGGTCTTCCCATGCGAAAGATAACGCTGTCTTCATCATCTATAAAGTCACTTAGCTGTGGCTTGCTTTGCCCCTTGTATTTGTTTTCCCAATCTTCAACCCCCATGCCAGAATCTACAGGTATAATTCTGACTCTTCCTTTCTGGTTTAAAGAGCTTCTTTTTTTTTTTTTTTTTTAAGTAAAAAAAATTTAATGAGGGTGTGGGAATGGATAAAGGGATGGAAAAGAGGCATACAAAAAGAAAAAATGCAAACAGAAACACAAGTTAAGCCACACAGTAAATTATGACAGAAACAAATCTAAATAAATCTTTTTGTAATGATGACCTGATCTATAATATATATGATAAGCAATATGTAACATTGCATTCTTTAATAAACATTTTTTGCAGTTTTTGATGATCTTAACTAAACTGCCCAGAAGGCATACCAAAAGACTAGAACATAACATGTTACACATTTCATACATTTGACAGGGGTAATAAAACTCTTTGTTTGCAAGTGTGAGATTGTGTGCATATAGCTCCATGTTTGCACGTGCCTCGCTGAATTTAGATTGTTGTAAATCCCCACTGCAACAAACACGCTTATCAGCACTTCCACAGTCTGTCTGTAAAAGTCTTAACAGGAAATGTCCGCAAAATCACCACCATATGGCATTCATGGTAGAGGTTTTTATGTTACAACTGAAAGGCATGTGTCTGTCACTGACCTATTTCCTCCAGAGGTGTGAACGAGGGATTTCCTCTTTGTGATATACCCAGAGCATTTCAAACTAACAGAAACTTTAAACAACCCAACACACCCTCAAGACAAAAAGAAACATGAACAATGAAGGGTTTTTTTTTTCTGTGACTGTAATCACATTTTTTTTCTGATGTAGAATTATCCGGATCAACTCCCTATCAGTCAACACAGGCAGATTTATAGCAGTCTCACTGGTGCGCATGCATGCTACGGCAAGCGCACAAGATTAAAGTCCATGAACCAAGAATATTTGTCTTCTGGACCAAATACTTCCTGACAGCATTTTAGTGGCGTTGTAGTGACCATAATAACAACAAAAAAGAATATATTATTTTTGTATGTTAGTAACAATCATCATATAAACACTTTATTTTGGCCATTTGGCCAACAGTAAACAAATAATCCTGATATTCTTCCTGATGTACGGAAGACAAAAACATGGGCTTTTGATCAGGTAAACTATTCATGACAAAATTAATTAAGAGGTAATTACCAATTCTCTCTGTGAAACAATCTTATCTAAAGTAAACACTTCTGACTAGGTTTTAAACCCTAATTAACGGAGGCACAAGTAATGTCATTATGATACCAATTACATTTGCATGATTTACCTTTATAATTTCATTGATGTTGATTTAACTCTGATTATTTTTGAGGTCATAATGAATAGACAACTCATTTTCAGTTACATTATTGAAAAGCACTTCTTAAGTTTTGCACTATTTGTGTAAAAACAAAAGGCAAATACAGCCATTACCACCGTGATTATATTACTTTGCATTAGACGACAGCAGTACACAATAAAGCAACCCATCAAAACTAACTGCTGCAGTGGAAGCAAGAACCATCAGGCTACACTGCCAGTATGTGTAAGGATAAAGAGTGTCTGTTCAGGAGTGCATGAGTGAGTGAAGGTATCCCTGGGCGACCCTGTCTACCTGCTTCCTCTTGGGTCCCTGTAGTCCAGGTCGAAACTGTGGACAGAGTCTGTGCAGCCATCCGGGCGATGCTGTGGCCGAGGCCCCATCGGGTACTGGTGCATAGATGAGTTGGGCTGAGCAGTTGTGTGGTAACGTGGAGGCAAACTGTTACTGGTCTCACTGCGATAATCGCTATCCCGGTCATCTACAGCACTGTCCTGGTCATCCAAGGCTGCAGCAGGTAAAAAGACAAGCTCTAAACACCCCATCCTGACAGATTGTAAAATTGTGGAATCAAGTACGTTTAGTTAGATGGCTTCATTTTTCTATCAAACCTTGCTGATTATTTATGTAAAAGAAGTGTATGTATTCTTGTTTGAATTTTTATTAAATATAAAAATGCAAAAAGCTGAAAAAATAAACAAACCACAGTTACCTGATGCTAGGGGAAAAGTTAAAAATGCAAACATTTAAAATTTTCTAAAAGCTATGGGTCAAGTGCAAAGCAGTACAGGTCTTCTGCAAAAAAAGCAAAATATTGAATACAAATTGCAAAATATGGCAGTTTCTGGACACACTCTTAACCATTATAATGATGCCTGAGTAGGACAGGAAAGCAACAAATGGACACAGAGCTACACAAATCTGCAGCCAAGAAAACTTTGTGCGGTTATTTTAATAAATGTTACTGGCCCTGATATGACAGAATTATTCTGATTATGTTTTAATAGATTTCACATCATAAAATGTCATAAAAAAATTGTGCAATTGATGTAAGTATTTCAAGAACAAAATATAAGATGCAACTTTTACTAAACAAGAAAGAAGAGAGTATTCTGTAATTCTGGATCCTAGCAGAAAAATAAAAAAATAAAGCTGACTAACTGACTAGCAATAGGTTTGTAGAATTATAAGAGCTAATTGTGTACAACCCTGGGGTTATTTGAAAGTGATTTATTCGAAGTAAACAGAGTGGACAGACCCACAGAATGGCACTGCACTCTGGTATAGTCATTCTCAATTAAGAAGGCAAGAGAATCTTCTGAATGAAAAGATTTCCATGCAGGATAAAAACAGATTTCGTCAGGATCACTCTTATTATTTTCAGGTAAATACAGACTTCCCCTTGCTCTTATAGCAAAAATATTATTTTTTTGTGATGCTGATTTTTGTTTATAACATACTAAAATAATTGGTCATCACTAACAGGGTTACAGTGCAACACAAGACAAAGTTTCTAACAAAACAATTTGCCTCATGTGGCTTTACTTAAACAAAACTCCCACCTGTGCACATGTAGCCTGGGAAATTCATAGTCATGAATATATCAAACCATTACATCACTGCTTGCACTGTTTGTTGCCCCACTAAGAAAATAAAGTGCTGTACACGCAAGCACTTGTGCTAAATGTAAGGCAAAGAGCTGTTCTTCACCTCTCTAGCTGTATGATCCCATAGATTCATCTACAGAATAATTTTCTATAAGAAAAGTAAAGATTGTGAACTTTATTTCTTGTTAGCCCAGTTAAGCCTCTATATTTATACACAAAAACATAAAAGAATCATTTTACAAAGGGGCAACCTTGTGTTGAATTACAGAGAAGAAGACAGTTTGTAGGTGTTCACCCCACACAGCTTCATAATAATTTGTATAACTTCATATAGGAAAGCACCAAAATACACCACTTCTTGAAACTGACCTTACCAGTTCAAAGACAACGTCTTCTAAAAGCTAACCATAAGGCAAGTATTGGCTAGGGAGATAGCTAGGCTGGGGTTTGTCGTTTCAAAGTGATAAAGCCATAAGAAGTGATTCATAAATATTTAGCAAAGACTGCCACCTGTCATCTCTGTGAAGGAACTGCAATTCCCTACATTAAACACGTAATAGGGGCTTCCATTGTTAGTCAGACTTCTAGCAATGTTTGTTATGCATCAGAAGATTACTTTTCTGGCTCTTTTCTGGAATGTACACAATATAATAATAAATGATATATGTGTTGTAAAAAAACATTCTAACATCAGCACAGGGCATATTGTAGAAAACAAGAAAACAGCAATGGGAGAAAATGTCAAAAGGTAATCAATGAATGCAGTGAGGAAAGAAAAAAATTTAATGTGAATTAATTGAATGGGAACCTTATGGTTTACGTGTTACAAGGGGCACATGGGGCTTTATGACATGCAGAAGGGGAAAGAGGATTGGCCAAGGGGGAGAATTTCATCAAAGTGTGTTACATACTCAGTGAATCAGCCCATCCGAAATAGTTGCCTGGTAAAAGTGCAGATGTAACAAGTCAGAGGAGTCGGGGATTGTGTAAACAAAGAAGACTTAAGTGCTCCTGTGTTGTAATAATTGGACAATGAGGGAGCCCCATAAGTGGCAAACAAACACATAAATTGTCACAAGAGATTTAAAAGAAAAAGAATAAAATAGAAGTAACAAGACAAATGAGTCTGAGATCCAGAAAGATAGAAAACTGGCTCCATCTAGAGGTTAAAAGTACAACACATTCAGGTACTCACAGCACTGGGAAGCCGCAAATGGCAATGGGTGACTCTGAACATCTTCCTGAAGAGAGTACTAGAGAGGACAGAGAGTGTAAAATGTGCATATAATAGCATTCTTTATTGACTGGAATAATAAACTTCATTTTATATTAAAACTTTCTGGTAAAAACTGTATTTTACCTCATCATGGATTCCCATTCTGTTGATGCGCTCCAGTTTGCCAGTCCAATACTGTGCCTCATCATCCGGGATATCTGGTACAAAAATATGCATGCAGCAAATATAAACTTCAAGCTTCATTTCCCAGTATGCTGTCATAATACATTTTATGTCTGTTCAATTTTTTATGAGCTGTTTGGAAATGAAGAAAATAGTAAGTTAGCAGAAACATACAAAATAAATGTCAAGTGTACAGTGTGGCAAGTTACAGGTTTCCTGAAAAATTATAATACAACATTAAATTTCAAATACACAAAAAAATCAAAAGATAACTTTTAAGTGAAAAATACAAAATAATTACTCTACATTTACTGTTTGATATGATGTCTGGTAGACTAGTCGTACTTGAAAGGGGGATCTGCACTGCACTGTAGACAGATGCACATTAAAGGCCACACACAACACAAAGGCTAGGGCTTCAAAGACACCACAAACCCACGGCTTTAATGAATGGCTTTGGAAGCGCAGAGTCATGATGGGCTCCTGCAACCTTAAAAGGGCTCCTCTTAATACAGAGGAAGAGGCTCTCTCCCACACAGTGGACACTCTGCTTCAACTCTGATGCCTTTTGATCACAAGGCTTAAGCATTACATGCAGTGCAGTACTAAAACAGTGTAGTGGTCAAGTACAAAAAGGTGGTGGGAGCACAAAGGACACTTCACCATACAATAACTAATTACCGGTAACTAATACTTTTAAATGTGAATCAAACTTTAATATTGAAAAACTTGCCAATATCAGGTAAATTCAGCTGTTTTTGATTCCTAGCAAGCACCAAATGTCAGGATATTTAGTCTTTATTTATAGATGACCGCAAACACCAAGCTGAACTACAGTTCATATTTCATCTACAGTATTGTAGTCTTGAGTCAACCCTCATTTTGCTGAGAAAAATTATATAAAGGTGCAACCATTTATTGAAATATGTGGAAACATAAATGAAATACAGTATACAAGACAGAAACAGAGTTTCTAAATGTAATGAGCTTAAAAGTCAATATTGTCTTGACTACCTTTATCCTTTTACACAGCCTGGACTTTCTTAGGCAATCTTTCTTGTACTTTCTTTAAGTAGCGTTCAGGAATTGTTCCCCAGACATCCTGAAGGACATTCTAAAGCTCTTCTTTGGATGATGGTAGCTTTTTGGACAGTTCTTTGATCCCATACCTCTTCAATAATGTTGATCCCTGACTAGCATTCTATAGTGTGTACTTCTTTTTTTTTTTTTTTACCCAGCTATGCTTTAACTGCCCTGCCAGTGTGTTTGGGATCATTTTAATGCTATAAAACAAAGCCACTACCAATTAGATTCTTTCCAGATGTTATTATACAGTGAATCAATATCTGATCACCCTTTTCTGAATGTAAAATTTCATCACTTTACAACAGATCTCCAATATCACTGCCTGAGATGTAGCTTCAAAAATTACAGATCCTCCACCATGTTTTATAGATGGCTGCAGACACTCAGTGTTCCAGCTCTTTCCTGATATCCCCTGGACATACTGACTAGGGCGCGGTATCGATTTCGATTTTTATAATCGATTAAGTTCCGATTCACAAAGTCCCAATTCGATTCGATTTTGACTCAGACAATCGGAAGTATTATAATTCTGATCAATTATCAGTACATATCCATAATTTACATCTATGTATAAAAACAAAACTGAAACTTGTGAGACTTCATTAGAGGTTTAATCATCACAGGAGATTCCTTTGTGTCAAAGTAACTGAGGATAAAATGCAGAAAAACGTGAAGGAGATTTTCCTGGCCTGGCTTTTTATAGCAGATAACCACCTTAAAAATATTCTACAGTAGATCAAAAACTGAAGAAAACCATAAATCAACATATGAACATGACCTGATGCTGCTGAGGTGAAGCAGAGCAAAGTTACAAAGGTTTTTATTAGAGACACAGCTAAGCGTTTTGCAATTTGGCATAATTTGTAAAGGTTTAAATTTCTTTGATATTGAACAGCAGAAATGAGGCTTTCTTGTCAGAGGTCATTTTTGGAAGAAAAAAAACAAAACAAAAAAAAGCAGTGATGGCGACAGTGCTGAACACAACGGTAGACTGGTGCGTACTAAGCAAGCGAATAATGCAGAGATCTAAAACACAGATTTGACATGGGAAACTGTTCTTGAAGTACACTGAGAGAGAGAAAGAGCTGTGCAGGAAGTGTGATTCTATTGTGGTGGAAGCAAAACGGCAAGATTATTCAAACTAAAATCGATTTGAATCGGGAAATCGATTTTTTTTAAACATACTGACAGTGATTCGAACCAAATTTTCTACATTTCTTAAGTCATAAGACCTGGTGCCACTGATTTTTAATCCAGTATGTGTGTAAACTGATGTGGACCTTGTTGTGTTGGTACCTTTGAGAGCAAATAAAGGTAAGCGAAATTCCAACATTATCAGCATCAACCGATTCTAAGAACTTAACACTCTTGTCAACCTCTGGCTAGTCCAGAAATCAGTAGCTGGAATTATAGTGGCTGTCTATCTTTTTACACACAGTCTGTGATCTACCACTCTACCAGATTTTCTGCCCCTATGTAGCCAAATAAATAAATGCACCTTTAATGAAATCTGTATTCATATTCTGACATGGATCATTCTAGAAAACACTGATTAAGTGGCAAATGGACCCAAACTCAGAGTCATATATTCCTCTTTCTCATGTTAGAAATGCTTTTGGATATTTCTAATGGTTCCTAAATCCTGTTGGCCACAACAGGACAACCTGGCAAAGACAAAATTATATTTACGGAACCTAAATTAATAAAGGAAGGTCTGCTATTGTTGAATTAGTGACCTCAGCTTATGCAGGACAGAAACAGGCGTCTCATTCTCAAAGGCACCAGATACGGGATGTTACACCGTCAGGAAAATATCTAAGACAAATATCTGGACTGCTTCTAGCCATAAAATCCTGCTTGGCTCCGCACAAAGGGAGAATGTTATGATGTGACCTTATATTTATCTTGTGTAAACCAGGTTGTTCTGGGGACTTTATTTAAAAATTAATGTGATTCCTAAACCGTTCATATTTTCTTTTTTGTAAATATCATTGAGTTAATGTTGAAAGTCTTAAATTCAATGATTATTTGATTTAAAATCCACTGCAGTGGTGCAAAACTATGCAAAAATTATGAATCGTCGTTCAACAATTGTGGACTCAACTGTTTAGCCATTAGATTTTCTGTTCAAAAGAAATTACTACTAGGTACCGTATGTCTGCACAAGACCAGTGGATACCAGGCTATGATGTTACACACTGCTCCAGGCTCGACACTTTTTTTTTTGGTTCCTGACATTTCAGCAGGAAACATTTGTGACCTTTGAGTAACTCTCCAGATCAAGGTTTGATTCACCCTAAGGCAACCAGAATCACTAATGTATCTATTACAAAACATCTTACATAAGAGCTTTAACGGTATTTACAAGTGTGGTTCAATCAACTGAACAACTGTATGTCTTAGACTCTGGAAGTCTATTGTGCAGCTAAAATGGTTTCAGCTTCAATCTCACCAAAAGGCAGTTCGAAACGAGTATCCAACAGGACTCGATGAGGCGTCGGATTCTTCGTGCCATATATCTCATCAGCTTTCATCAGGACCTCTGCATCCAGGAAAAGCCATTCACCTGAGCCCTCCTGAAATGAAATTAAACACATTCATTTATTTACACAGACAATGCCTTTGCATGTATTCTTCAGTTTATGCCTGCGTTTTTACTATTTGTAGCTCAAATAGTGAAGCCAAGCAGCATTTATAATGAAGTATGTTCAATCTAGTGAAAAATTCAAAGTTCATTTTCTTAGTATTATGTGGGTCAAACAAGAAACATTTTTGTATAAACTACTTTTTTGTATGTAAAAAAATAAAATTTTAACTTTTTGATTTCCAATCATCCTGTAACTGTAATCATTGTGTAACATATTTAACATATTCATCATTTTCAAATGTTTATTTTATTTGAAACTGCCTTTATACTTGAAATTTCTATATTACTTTACCTTAGGTTTAGGAATCCAGTATTTATGAACAGAACATAGCCAACACACAGGTGTCTGCATTTACTTATTGTAGCATTTGAATTTTTAGTACGACTAAAAATTCAAAGTGTCCCTTTTATGAGACCATCATTTCACATCTTTGATGTGCCAACTGGAATTACTTGCATATCTCTTTCTAGGGAAAAATGCAGAAAGACTGAGCAATATTTATGTAAAGGTACAAACTTTTGTTTTGTCTTTTGTTAATTTTACTAATTTAACATCTATTGGTTGATGAAGTTAAATGCTGTATCTTGTTACTTCTAATGGATGGATTTCAAGTGGCTTTTTTCCACCTCAAACGTTTGGACTAAAATTCACTTGTACTTGACTTTTTGTGTGGGTGTAAGTTCTGACCTCCTCTGATTGTCGAATACTTTTTAATGGAATCCATGCAGTCCCCACCATGGTGTCCCAGATGAGACCTTTGTTCCACACCTCAACAATAAGGCCGAGGTCCAGCTGGTTGATCTCACTGTGCAAATTCAAGTAACAAATGATGATGATGATGATAAAATGTCACTGAATAAAAGAATGAAACAATAACTGTGTTGTAATGTAACTTCGTTATAAGAAATTTTTAAAATGGAAAAAAACAAAAACAAAAATTAAACCAGAAATTTCTAAAGGATTGCTATCAGGAGCTACTATTGCTTTAGCTACAAAAGCTACTTCCTCATTTTGTCCTGTATTAGCTGTCATAATCATTTCCAGCCTTGTTTTGTCATTCAACATGCTATTCAAAGGGCTCAAAAACAGCTTGATGACAGTATTAAAATGGCACATGAATTTTAAAAGCAGCCACACACCAAGGGCATTTGCATATTCTCATCTGTGCCACTTTACAACTACTGACGGACCAAACAAAAACAAGATCAGAGAAAAGATAATTAAAAAAAGAGCAAGGGTGGGGGTGAGGGTGGTGGGGTCCAGAGAGCTCAGGTGCAGAGATAAAGGCCTCCTAAATCATTTGCTCATTGAAAAAGAGAATAAATACATATAGCAAGGTATTTAACTGGGGCTATTTTTAACCGGGAGATTTATTGTTGTTCATGTTGCTGTTTAGATTATCTTTCCAGTTGTGCCACCTTTTATTTTAACGTTTTGCATTATCCATGTCTTTTTTAAACATGCAAAATAAAGTGGTAAAGCCAAAATTGCTGATAAATTGCAATCTATTTTCAAATACAAGCATCATCGTTTATTTCTTTAAATCACTTTCCAACCACTTTGTGTAGACTGATTTACAACCATGTAGTCCAACCTAATTCATTTTAAATTCGTACAGTACTGTTTTTCCTTATATGAATACACATTCACCGGCTACTTATTAGGTACAATTCCTTGACTGCTCATTAAAGTAAACTTCTAATCAGTCAGTCACAAAGGGACTTAGGGTTTGGGGTAATGTTCTCGGGAAACCAAATATATTGTATGTTTGTGGTGTGCTGTATAAGACAGTTTCCGTTTGTTCTAAAAGCAAATAAATATTGCATTATAAAAAGTGACACTGAACGTGGTGTGATTTTTACTGTCCACAAACTGCTGATCTACTGAGATTTTCTGATTTTGCTGCAGGGTCAGAATTTGGCATAAACAACACAAAAACACATCTAATCTGCCTTTTATCAAAGTTTAGACTAGTGATGGTGTCATTTTATATTTCATGGGCTATTGTCTTGGCGCATGCAGGCCCATAGCCTATATGGAGTAATGTTACTGACCTTAACAAATCTGATAGTCAGGTGCTAAAAGGCCAAAAAACAAAAACAAAAAACAAAACATAAGAAAATTTATGACTTGTTAAATTAAGAGAAGGTGCAACTGAATAAACAATTGCAGTTATTAATTTCCAAAACTGAGACAACCACTACTTACTCATTTGTTTTGTTCAGATGATGTTTTTAGACAATATATTTAAAATGTAACATAAAAATCCTAAAAAAAATAATTGCATGGTAGGTACTAAGATACAAAGTTTGAAATTGTAAAGTTCCCATTTTCTGCTTAAATTTAAGCTGGGTCGCTGTAACAGATGGTGCTCAGAATTTGCTGGAAAGCCTGATGAATAACCTGGAATTACACCTAGTGACAAAGCATGAATGGACAGTTGGAGGAAGGGGACCTGGAAAAACAAACACTGTCCCAAAAGAGGCAGTTCACAAAAGACAAACAATGGTGCGCATGCAACAAAGTGTTGCCTTTTGTGTCACCATAGATACATTTCACTGGGAAAAGAAAATGGGGAAATTAAATCAATAAATTACAAGGAGGAAATGACCAACAGCTGTTTTACGATATATTGTCTTAAACTGAATGGAGTAGATGAAAAACTGTAGCGTTTAAGCATTCGGATAAGTAGCTTGGAGAGATAAAATTGTGGATGTGTTGTTTCTATCCCGGAGTTGCAGAGTGTGTGGTTTTTTATGTATTAATGTTTGATTTTGTTCCCCATGATAAATGGTGTGTTTCTGTATTTGCTTCTGTATTTCAGATTGACTTACAACATGAAATCTTGCTCCCAGCAGGGCTGGTCCCCACGCACAGTGATAGTTGTGCTTTTAACATTTTGCACTTTCAGCGTCACATAGGTGTTGAACTTATCTGAAACAGAGGAAAAGGCAGATTACGATTTAATTATAATGAGGAGGCAGCAATGCATTGAAAGCATATGGAGGAGAGCGAGCGTTTTTTTTTTGTTTTTTTTGTGTCCCGTTTGGATCTTTGGCCATCAGAATTGTTGTCTTAAGGCCAAGAAAGATGCCAAGCGGATTTATTTTACCAAGTGGATCATCATGGCCTTGCCATATTGGTCCATTTGATTGACCTTTATTATAATTATGAATTTATTTTATTTTCAGTTGCTACAAACGGGACAGACATGACTGGGGGATAGGACAGGGAGAAAGAATGAAAGAAAGAGAGGGAGAGAGAGAAAACCAAAGGGGAGAAGAGACGGTGAGAAGGGGGGGAAGAAAGAAAAAAAAAACAAAAAACAAAACACCTGGGTCACCTGTATGGAGAAAAAAAAACAGAAGAGAAAGCAAACAACAAAGAGCAACATAATAAAAAAAACGGCACCATCACAATAAACTAGCTAGCAGTAGATATCAGTAGATACTAAATAATAAACGATATTGTGCAGCACGCAAGATAGACAGCGCACAATGTGCTTTGAGGCAGCAGCCAAGAAAGCTGTAGTCCGCGTCTGTGAATACCCGTGTGTACACCTGTGTGCATACCTGTGTGGATCAGCATGCTTGCATTCCAAAGGTTTCTCCATGTAACGATCTGCTAGGGAGTGTGGGGAGCCACAGCCCCGTCCTCCAGGGTATGAAGCAGGTATGGAGGAGATCAAAACTCCAGACATCCAGAGGCCCCCAGAACACAAGAGACCAAGGAAGACCAACAGAGGGGCAGCCGCGCCACTGTCCCAGTAAGAGCTGAGGAGAGTCCCAGATGAGGGTTCACTCAGCAGCCGCGGAGCAGAAGCCAGGGGGAGTTGCGGTGACGCGCCCATGAGCTCCGCCGGCAGCCAGCTGTGCCTGAGTGACCGAGCCCCAGGCCGAGAGGCCGGGGGCACCCCACCTCCGAAGTGGCCCGAGCAAGCCCCAGGCTCCAGGCCCCGATAAGCGGCCGCCAAGGAGTGAGCCGGTGTGTACCCGGACGCCCACCCCCAGACACAAGGAACCACCAACGCACCGACACCAGAGGGAGTCCGCCACCGGCAGGGGAAGTGGTGGTGGGTGGAGATAGGCCTCCAAACCTTGGAGGGCCTGAGATGTCCCTAGAGAGGTGGCGTCTGATACCCAACCTGACATATAGACACAGACATACAGGCACACACAGACACAAACATCCATTCCCACCCTCATGCTCTCATATGCACTTACTCCACACTCAACCAACGTGGAGACAGACATAAAGAGACGCTGTACACACGATCACACTCCCCAAGCGTACTCTACGAACCGGGTCTAGGTACCCCTGCCCCTGGAGGGGGGAACTGCACCCAGACCCAGGTGGTGTTACCCTTTTCCCTGCGGTGGGGAGAGGTAGACCGCCCCGACTCCGCAGCAGCAGGGAGGCCCCACACTCCAGACCGCAGTCGGACGGCCAACTCCTCCTAGCCCCCCCGCTCCAGCAGGCCGCAGAGAATGGGGGTGAGAGAAGACTCCAAACCTCCCTCCACCCGCTCATTGTAGTGTTGATGCTTGTGTGTTCTAAGGTGCAATTAAAACCCAGGAGGGCATGGAGCTACCTGCCAGAGAGCAGCAGGTAAGCGCATAGTCCCTCCTGCTAGCCCTCAATGTCTACGTGTATTTAAAATTGAGAGGTGGGCAACGACGCCAGGGGTGAGGTGTACATCCTGATGGTAATTTGGACTCCGTGTATCGTGCCCACCCCCAAGATCCTATATGTATGTGTAATGAGAGTGTGAGTAATGTGAATGTCTAAGTTGTGGGATAAAATTGAGGCAGAGGCAGCCAGAAGGGGACAGAGGGGGGGGTAGCCTCCTCTGCACCCTGGTGACATACCCCTACTCCAAGGCCCTGCATGTGTGGGTGGTTGTGGTGGAGCGGGAAGAGGGAGGCAGCTGGAGATGGGGAGGGAAGGAAGGGAGGGGCAGGTGACCCCTCCCTGGGGCCAGCTCCCCCGCTGACCCCAGTAGGCACTCCCATACTCCGCGACCCGCCAGGGAAAGGGGGCCCAGGCCCATCCAGACCGGGGCCCAGCGCAGCAGCGCCCCCCGGCCCCACAGAGCCCGGGACAGTCCACCCAACCCCACCACAGAGAAAACTGCACCCACCCCACCATCCACTCATCTTCCAGACTACATGAGACAATAGACGCCCAGGCTGAGATCTTCCTCCACCTCTCCTGTATCTCCCCCTCCTGCAGAGAGTTCCTGAGGAGAGGAAAGCTCCTGCAAGGTGTGACAATCTCCCCCACCAGTTGAAGAGCCCCCCAGGTGGCTCGACGCACCGGCGGCACCCTGCGCCAGGGATGGGCCCCCATGCACCCACCCGCCCACAACCCCGGCAACACACAAACCAGGACCCAAGGCCCCGAGGCCCGGCCAGGGCCCCAGCCCAGAGACGGAGCGCCCCCAGAACCTCACGCCCATCCCGGACCCACCCAGGGGCAGACAGGCTACCAGGTCAGTAACCCACGTCCGTCAGCACAGACCCTCCCCTAGCCCCGCTTGCACGCAGCCGCGAGGAAACAGTCACCTGAGAGCCAACAGAGCCCCCTAACCGGACATGACCGCTACCCCGGGTTGAGCCCCCCAAGGAAGATGCCTCCGGGGAACCCCCCGACGCCCTAAGCCTGTCCCTACCCCCACACCAATCACAACAGTGAAGGCGGGACCAAACTATGACCCCCCACCCCCACTAGGTGATGGAGCTGATCAAAGGAGCCCAGAGCAATTGATCTGATGTGGTGGCAGAGGCTGTATCAAGACTAATGTAATCTAATAGATAATTTCTATATTGGTTAGAATTAAGATTATTTTTATTTTTCCAGTTCATGAGGACTGTTTTCTTGGCTATGCATAGGGCAGTGAAAACCATATGGGCGATATTCTTTTCTGAAGTGACATTATCTAAGCTGCCCAACAAACACACTAAGGGGGAAGTTGGAATGTTACAGGAGAGCGAGCGTTACGCATGAGTTAACAGGAATATATGGGATTCATTAAGCAGTAATGAAGACACATAGCATAGTAAGACTCTGGACAGTCTACTATTGGATAGAACAACAGAGGTGATGTTTGAACTACCATGCCAGGTCTACCTCTGTTTTCTGTAGGAGGAAAAAAAAGACATCAGGACTATCAGTGAGAGTAAAAGCAGATAAGTCTCCTCCCCCGACTATATCAAGCCAAACCCAGGCCAGGCCAGCAAATCAACCCTGTTAATCTCCAATGAGAGCCAAACCCTCACAGCACATAGTACTACAGGATGTACAAATACATGGTACGTCTCTAGTCCACTATGAAGTGCAGCTATTTTTTAAAATACCCTTGTCCTGTAAAAAATACACGTTGTAAAGGAAGCATGCCTGCTCATGATGTAATAAAGTTGAAGTCACTACTGACCTGTTACTATTACAGAAAAGGTCTCTGTCAGCCCTAATATCATCAATACATAGAATATAGTTGGTTTAGTTGCATTTTTAACATTTGACGCAACTGTTGACTGTGTGACCTATACACAAAAATTGAGCCCTGCTAGGAGTCTACTGCCTGTGAAAACCACTGAAACATTGACTCAAATGTCTGTGTGTGTGTATACAACTTTCACACCCAGTTATCTCAGTCAACTTCCTTCCGCCAGTAGTGCTGGACAGCCGATTCTCAACAACTGTATGCTTCAGCGGTCAGTGCTGAAGGGGAGGGTGGATGGATGAGGGATTAGGCAACCCGTGCTAAAACTACCAGCTTTTCATTTCCTACTGTGGGGTTGGGGGCATCAACACGTGCCTGTTGATGTGCTCATTTTTCCTCATGTAGTTACCAGTCCTGCACAACTGGTGGTCCTCGCTACAACTCCCCCCCCCCCACATGGACACAAAAGCTGAGTGGGAGGAGGACTGAAAGGGAAAGGAAAAAGGATGTCTGTTTCTGACTGATAAATAAAATATACTTTATCATATGTCATAGAATACTACTCAGGGAATAGCTCACAATCATCTGATTCAAGATATTAAAAGGACACCTTCGTATAAACAATGTTTCCCCACGTCAATTAGAGTAGCACAAGTAGCAAGGTATAAATGCTCACGCCAACAAAATGACAAGACTATCAAGCAGAAAATTATATTAAAATTTAACAATATACGGCTGGATGGATATCATCTTGAAGTTTTTAGCAAAAAATATACAACTATATTAATATGAATATGTTTTCCATAAACTGACAGCACGTTTATGGTTCTGAGTTTCTGATTTTCTGAATGGTGGCTCCCTGATATGGACAGCCAACAGTGCAAGCAGGCAATACAAACACACACAAATGACCCTCTTTGGTCTATGGGAAACAAAAGCAAGAGATCAGCTGTTCCTGTATAGACCAGTCACATGACCACACTAAACAAAGATTACCCTGGTTCCTCCAGCAACAAACCGAAACATTTACCCTACACTAGCATTTAACATAGCAGCCAGATAAGTAAAATCAACTCCTTGGCATAATAGGACTGCCAGCAGTTGACACAGGTGGATTCATACAACTGACACAGAACATAAATAGATACTTAAGACTGCACACTGAAACAGTGCACTGAAAGCGCAGAATCCCTGAAGTGACACTGAGACCGCGAACCAGGACTGACAGGACACAGACCTAATTAGTGTCCTGTGAAAACAGTAGCAACAGAACACACACAGTATTAAAGTTGCCTCGGGGATGCTGAAGCTTTTCCCTAATTAGATATTCCATGCCTTGTGCCACACTTGGGCCAGCTCCCATGAATAGCAGAGACGAGATAAGGCAAGAGGATGTATGGATTAGATAAGAGCCACTTAGTGGTTGCCGGACCTTTACACCAGGCGTTTTCCTTGATACGGCTGACACCGTTGAGGAGGAAGAAGTAATAACTGACTGGAGGGAAAAAAAGAGGAAAAAAAAGTATCCACCTGCATAGATAGCAATGTCTCACCAATATAACGGACTAGTCTTATGTTTGTATTGTATAGTTTGAGGACAACAAACATTAAATGAAAACTGAAATTTCAGTCAAAATACCACTATTATAAAACACATCATACACATGTAATAATTAGCTTAGTGCAAATATATAATAGTGCATGTAAGCGTAAGTACGTACGTAAGTAATGGGAAGTGCAATAAAGAAAAGACAAACTTATTTGTCACCGGTCAAATCTGCTAGGCAATAACTGGGCTATAACTGCTATATGAGAAAAACAAAGTTTAGCAAACACAAATGCTCAAGATAAAACCGAAGGTACGTTTCCTAAGTGGTCACATTTTATGTCTACAGTGTCTTTCTTTGTAACTTGTTATGACAAGCAACTTGGTAAATATAGATTTAACTCCACACAGATTTCAAAATCCAGTATGCTGAAAAGTGGGGGTTTTTCCCTTTTTTTTCTTGCTAACTCCATTAGAGATCTTTATTGTATTCAGAAGCAAGGTATCCACCTGCACATCAGTGCCTTACCCTACATAAGAGATATGTTTTATATGGTTACTGTATAGTATGAGGATCACAAAAATCTAATGGAAACCAACATTTCAGTCAATATGCAATTATTTAAAAAGAAATTATGGATATCTCTACAGTAATCTCAGCACAATAGTTAGATAAATCATCTTTAAATTATTACTGCAAATACATGTCTTATATGTACTTACAGGCTATTAAGACATGGGAAGTGCAGTAAAGAAAAGACACATTAGTCACTAGACAAATATACTGCTTAAGACAGTTTCATATCAAGTTTGCTTGTTTTTCCAATGTGTTTGAGACAGTTATATTTATCCAATTCTAAAAATCTTCTTAAAATCACTGATTTTAAAATCTTAAAATCAGTGTCTGCCTCAAGAATCTTTACACCAGTTTTAACCATCAGTGTGCACATTTAATGAGAATTTCCAGATACTGTAAAATAATGAAATTTTTAATAAGATTAATGCATAAGATTATGCATTCTGTAGGCCCATTGCAGAAAGAAAGTGCAGTGTTGATTGAGTCAAGTTGCCTAACCCAAACTGTTGCTTACATGTAAAGAAACATGATCTGTTGACCATGTTGGTGCAAATTTAAACATGCTTAAGTGTGCATACACGCGCGCGCACACACACACACACACACACACACACACACACACACAGTAAAACAGTGAAGGCACGCCAGTCAATGTGCTCTTAAGCAGCAAAAAAATCGAATGATCATGTGATGTTCTGAGAATCACCGTAAACCCTCAGTCAAACGTCTTCATTCATTATTGATTAGTGATGAGTTTTCTTAGTAATAAATTAGTCAGGAAAATGCAGGCAGCTGGAAGACTGGCATTTCAACATCAGGCCACTTATCAATATTGCATGCAACACAAAACATACATTTATCAGAGGACTTTCCTACCATTGCTTGAATATCTTCATGTGTAAGTTAGTTTTGCAAAAATAGTGTTCTCAAGCAATTACATTACCTGGAAGTCTATTTTTTACTTAGTTAAAAGAGAAGCTTGTGATTAAAATGATATATTCCCCATTTTATTCCAAGCAGAAACTCTGCAAGTACACATCTAGCAGCACACAGCTATTATCTGCAAATCAGTGGACAGACAGATAGACTGCTAACTAGTTCAAACAACGTCACCTTCTGTTTTACAGTATTCTCTCAAAACTCTTTGTGTATATGTGCCAAAATAAGGCCTAAAAGCCATCCAAGCACAGGTGTGGTGTAGACACAATACAAACATCAATCCCAGGCCAGCCTTATGTAAACTTTGAGGCCTCTTCCAATAAGTCACATGTCACCCTATGCAAGTACAATTATCATGAGGTAAGAAAACTGGTAAGTAATATGTTCAGTAATTACTTATTCCTTTCTGTTCTTTCAGAATCTATCCCTTATTGCTATTCACACAAAAATGCAAAGTAAAATGGTGCAATAATCATAACAAAAAATGCAGAAATCTGATCTTACAATTTGCAGCTCAACACATCATGGTATGCAGTTTTGAAGCACAAACCATTGCATTTGCAGCATATCAAAGTATTTCATGCTCATTGGATCATGGCCACACTTTACGGTGCCAAAAAAGTAGGACAGCAAAACAGCATTGGCTATGTTTAACCAAATTTGCTGAAAAAAATAAAATAAAATACATTAGTTCATTATTTGTATATTTTCAAAGTCTGTTTTCTAAAACACCTTTACTCATAAGCTCACACATCAGTTTATTGAGCTGATATCACTTCATAAGTCGTAACGAAAACAGCTCATTTAGAGTAGTTGGAAATTTTACTTTGATGACATTTTTTTAAAAGCTATTCTTGATACACTTTTTTGACAAAATCTTTAACACCATAACACATTACAAGGGACATCTTTAAACACATGAAAATGCTAAACTTATTATTTGGTTATTTTTGTTTCTTAGCTAAGAACTCTCTCGCAGGCCTGCGTTTCCGTCTTTGCCCTCTAAAAAACCCCCACCAACAACAAAAGTGACTAGTGTTTACATTTTGTTTCAGAGAGATGCCTGGCTAAAGTGAAATTCACCTAATGTTTGCTCTGAGACAGGTGTCACATGTCGTATGACCCGGAAGAGGGAGGAGGTCATAGACAGCCAAGCAAAGTCTTACAATCCCTTTAAAGTTTCAATGCTACGAAGCCCTTTGAAAACTGACAATACAACAAAAAACATAAAAAAGCATCAACTTCAGTCACTTGATGCTGGCTAGAAAAACTGAACTCACAGCATTAGAAAGTGAAGACACTGTCTGGAAGGCAAATGCTAGCTTTTCAGCTGTGCACTGATGTCCCCCATTATCAATAGCCTGGAGAGCACAGTGTCCAAGATTTCAAGGAAGAATTCCAATCTTGGACTGGTCAACCCACATGACAGTTTTCAGTGGATCTTAAACCAGTACTGGGACAGAGTGTTTTGGGATCTGATTTGTATATTTTACTTCCTTGTTGATGGTTTTTAAACTACATTTGTGAATGCACCATAGCATTGACAGAAGTTTTCTGAAGTGGTCCCGAGTCCATGTAGTTACTTCCTCTAGATAATCACTTCTTTTTATAAATTGTAGCAGTGTCTGAGGACCAGAAGATTATGGCCACTCGGTAATGATTTTTGGGCTTGTACACAAAGCCAAAAACTAATACTGTATTGTTTCCTAGAATCTTTCAATGATATTATGTACTGATGATGAAATCCCAAGTTATTTTAATGTCACAGTGAGTCATTCTTAAATCCCCGAACTATTGTCCTGTGCAGAATAATGAACACTTTTCCAGTTTTCTCTGTTTCTAAAAGGTTTAGTCTTTTTCGGAATGCTTTTCTGATACCCATTCACATCCATTATGTGTTGCTTATGAACATAACTAGTTGTGAGATGTATCACAGGTATATAGTATTAACAACTTTTCCACTCTTATGCTACCCCTCCATTAATTTTTTTTAATTTTTTATTAACTTTAGGACGTTAATGATTTACAAAATACTTCTTTTTAAATTCACATTTTGTAAGGGATCAGAAATTTTACAAAAAGGGTTAGAAAAAACTTTACAGAAGTCATTTTGGAATCAAATGAGTAAAATATCAATGGCAAACTCAAAGCTAAGTTGACTTTGTATTAATGCTCCTCTCTGCTCTTGCCAGAAATGTCACAGGGCTTAAAGGTAGACAAGAGCCTGAACACCAGAGGGATTTGCCTAGTTGGAGAGTCTGGGGATTTGGACACTGATCTATGTCCACCTGCATGGCATGACACTGAAAGACCCAGGATTGCGTAACACAAAATCAACCCTAGCGCATGTAGTGACTTGCCAGAATTTAAGAGATTAACCTATATAAGACAATTAGTACACATGGCATATTTTTAACAAGGTCTACACAAAGCAACCTCACAGAAGTAGTGGTGCTTTGATCAAAATATGTAGAATTCTGGACATCCTCATTGGGTAACTGGATAACTGAGTTAATTTACAGTTCAACATGGATGACAGTTCAGACATTCTTGTTTTTACAAACAAACAAACACCAATAAACATAATCAAAAATCCCACAAGTTTCACAGCATAAAAATCTCTCACCAGCTGAGAACAATGAACATTAGTAAAATGTAAGGTAAAATGGCCTGAGAATGGGAATAAAGTTTGTGAATAAAGAAAGTTCTTACCTGGTGGTCCCTGGAGTTTGGCTTTCTTCACTGCACAGCGCACAGAAACACACAGACACACACACACACACAAAAACAAAGATTAGCTCAATTACATAAATTTAATTTGCACTAGCTTAAGAATAAACATCGTACTATAATACGTAACTAAAACTGACACATAGGTAAATCTTAGGCCCCTGAGGGGTCTCACCTACCAAAGACCTAAAATTAACCCTTTCCAGTGTTTATGTACCTAAAACACAGTTTAAAAGCACAGTGTAAATAGAATTTTAAATTATTTAAATAAATTATTTCAAACTTATTGTTTTTAATGAATACATCTGACATTTGATTAACATCCACAAAACTTCTAATATGTATATTATGTACTGTAGCAAAGAGATATACTACTCCAATGTAAGTCAAATGATGGTAATACAATGTTGAATTAAAAGAGTTTGGTTTTTTAAAATTATTTTTAAAAGACAAGTCTAAAATACAAACACAGATGTGCATAAAGTAATTATCCCATGTTACTTGAGAATACAAATTGCTCATTATGCAGACAAGTAAGCAGTGATGGGAATAACGACGCTACAAGTAATGGCGTTACTAACGGCGTTACTTTTTTCAGTAACGAGTAATCTAAATAATTACTATTCCTATCGTTACAACGCCGTTACCATTACTAACAAGAAAATGCGGCGCGGTCGCGTTACTATTTTTCAACATTCAGACGGTTGAACCTGTCTTCGGTTTACCGCATCTTATATCAGTTGCACTGAAGTAGCTGTAAGTAATCTGGGCCCTACAGCTTGAGGCAGCTGCGTGCGCTCCCGCGGACGGCAATCACTTTCTGGCAGTCGATCACTTTTTGGCAAAACACCTGGAGCTAGGCGGCAAAACAATCGCATGAGTGCTGCTGTTTCACTGAGGAAGAGTAAAGTAGTCATAGTAAGCCAACCACATGACCACTTCAAGATGACAAAGCAACAAGGTGATATATACCAGTTTTTAAATTGTGTTGATAGGCCACGTAAAACAAGAGTCATGATAAACAATATATACGCGTGTTTCAGGTATCAGGCTGTGATGTTCTCCTTTATAGTGGACAGAAATTATTTTTTGGGAGTGGCACAAATAATTTGTGTGGCATCTACTTTAATGCGGAACAGCTGATTGTAATGTAAATAGTTTGAAATGGTTATTTTAAAAAAGGTAAATGGCTGCAAATAACTTTGTTGTTTGCAAAACTTGTGCATAGGATTTTAAAATTGACAATTAATATTTAACATTTAAAGTTATGAAATATGATTCAATAAACATGTTTGTGGTTGTTACAGTAGAAAAAATATATATTTTTTTCTACTTGGATTTTATGTTTTTTGTCTGATTTTAGATCAATTGTGTTAATACAATATGTCAGAATGAAAACATAACTAAATTCAGACACATGTGCTGAAAAGAATGATACCAAACAAGGCAGTAAATAGTTTTTAAAGGCGAAATGGAGAGGTAAAATCAAAAGTAGCAAAAAATGGCCAAGTAACGCAATAGTTACTTTTCAAGTAATTAATTACTTTTAGAGTCTTGTAACTCAGTTACATTTTTGAAGTAGTAACTAGTAACTATAATTAATTACTTATTCAAAGTAACTTGCCCAACACTGCAAGTAAGTCATAAGTTGGTGCAACGTGCAACAAATGAAGACTACAAACACATCATCTTGTTTTAGGAACCCTTGTGCAGTTTGATCAAAACAGAAGAACTATGTGAAGAAATCAACTTTACACTATTTATATTTTTCAGCTTCATTCAAATTATTGTGTCATAGTTAATAGTTTTGCTAAGTTCATAACTGATAAACCGGATGCATAACAGTTCAGTTATAGTAAAATATATTTGTAAAAACCTTATCATTTTAGTTAGAACGCTTCAAAGTTAAATCAATGAAAAATGGGATACTAAAGACTGGCACCTCTGTTTTATTAGCAGTGACAAATACATTTTTATTGGATTGCAACTTTTACATAATCATGAAGCATAAGCCTTGACAGCTGCATCACAAATCTTAACAGCTGGTGAACAAACAAAAAAAAACAAAACAAAGGAAAAATGGGACTCAGGCAGATGGGTATTAAGATACAAAATAAACCAAAAATGTCTGATAACAGCAGCCATTTCCAAAAACCTCCAGACATTACTTATGGTGAAGAACCACGTGCTGCTCGATTTTGGTTCATAAGTCGACCTGCCGTCTTTAGCCCCTCAATGCATCTTTACAATAAATGTTTATGGGATTGTGAAGCGATTTGAAGAGGATTAGTTGTGATTGCAGTGGCAGGGTTATGTGTGCAGGCATATAACCTACTAAACCTCTAAGGGCTGAGCTGCCAGATGTCCAGAATGGGATGATGGAGGCACAAATAACGCTTTCATATTTTCATGTACCATCCCTTGTTTTTTTTCTGTGCACATTAAAACAATAGTATAAAGTTTTCGGGTCTTCTAATAATTGATCATTCTTAATCACTCTTAATTACAGAGAACCATATGCATATAAATACAGCAAAGTAATATTTGCATATTAGAAAACTAATAGTGAAGTAACGATTAGAATGAATAAAAATGCAGGTTGAAGTGGAATGCACCAAACCTAACACATGCAGCCACAAATGTAAACTGAAAGACTAAAAATCAAAGACACAGAGTTAACCGAATTTACTTCTAGGATAACAATGGAAAGCAAAGAAAAAAAAAAAAAAAAAAAAAGACCACTGGTCCTCCCCCAGTGTTTCCTGTCTTTTACATAACTCATTGCGGAACAGTGGAAATCTTCAGTGAAGCTAGCAGTACGATTCTTTTTTCCACTAAGTCAAATGAGCTGGCTGTGGCCTTCTTTTCTCATTTGCATCACTTAATTTTAACTGTGGACCAAAGAGCAGGAGGTCATTAAACCAGAGAGAGGGGGATTGCAGTGGAAACTGATCCTTATCGTTTTCTGTCCATGCTTAATTTGATGGGTGTAGTTGATCTTTATCTACTGTTCTTCAAAACCTACTGGTTTCTTTTCTTTTTTGGTTAATTTTACTTGCTTGTGATCATACTTTGTTTCAAATATATTAATGCAGTCGCATGTCTCAATAAAAGTAGATCCCCCACCCCAGTACTATCCAGTATCATTTCTCTTTAGCAAAGTAAAGCTCTTTCCCCCAGCAGTTTACAAATTTGACATGATGACACAAAACACTACCTCATAAATTGAAACTAACACCAGCTGCACTATTGCAGATGGTACATATGCAACACAGTTTCACAACACTTCATGAAATAGTCACCTCTAAGTTGTTCTCTGTTTTATTGATTAACATTTATGGACACAAATTGTAATGTTTATTTTTGTTCTTGAAAACTAATTTTTCAGCATTATTTTGGGTCACTCAACACAACTTCTCATCAATCATCTCTTATGTAGTGATTCTTGTCCATGGAGATGAAAACAATACCACAATAAGAGTCTGCATTTGAAGGTCAGAGGTTGTTGGTAGAGCAAATCATCTTGAGATTTGTGTTCAGTTTATACAAGCCATAGATTGTCACACAACATTTGCATTCTTTTAATGATGTTATTAATAAAAAACAAAACGCAGTGCTTGGTTAAGTTTAGACATTTGCAGTGACTTGGTTGGGGTTAGACATTACAAAGAACATATTTTTTAAGTAAGGGAACATAAAACTGGGTTACCGTTTAAAAAAAAGATCATGGTTTGGGATACAGTGGTTGCCACTTCTTTTAAAGCTTTGTTGCCTTGGTCGCCATGGTGATACCTCCCCTTTTAAATGGACATAATATGTGCTTATAGTATGAAAAATGTTTCCTCAAACAGCAGACCTTTGAGGTACTTTAACCTGCAAAAGCATGACAATTTGTGTCCATGACCACTGACATGTTAGATTTCACAGCTGGTGTGATAACATCATAAGATGGTGTCTAGTGTATTGCTCACAGTTTTAATAGCTGAATTTTATTTAACCATTTTGCTTTCCGAACATCTATAATGTGACTAAAAATCACAAAATCCTGCAGCTTTCTGAGAATCCAAACAAACTGTATACTGTTAGCGATTTGTAGCAATTTGTGTTATCCAGATGATAATTTAAAACAAAAAAACGACTTCATAGATAGAGATTTTCTAAAAATGTGTGCTAATTCTGAAGTTGCAGCTCATGATGTTCATAAGCCAAATAATGACTTTAACCCCCTGCAAACAGTATCTATACTTTATTTCTTCTGTATAAACACGAATGAACAGCAAATAATATCAGTGTTCAGAAATTATATTTAGCCATTTTTTAATTGGGGGTTGGACATTTAAATTCAGTTCAGTTAATCTGTTTCTTAAAGCACTGCAGGATTTAGTCAACTTCACTTGCTACATACACAGACTGCTCTACAATCCATAGAGGGGTGAGGAAAAGAGGAAAATGTTGATGTACCAAATAACAGGACATGCAGGCAGGCACAAAGCAGGAAAGTAGGAACAGGAAATGACACCAGAGTCAAAGCAGTGGCGTACTTCCGCTTTGTGTCGACTGTTGGATCTGATCACTTGGAACTGGTAATAAGAGGAGAGAGAGCAACAGATGGCAAGGGGATTACTCCCACAATCTCTAAGCTCGCTCTCTCTCTCTATCTCACTCTGTCTTTCTCTCATAATTCCTCTACTCGGATGGTTACTATACCCAACCCCTTAGATTCCAGTTCAGTCACTTTTATCTCTCCATTGCATCCTTTATATAATTATTATCTCAGCATAAGTCCTCAGCAACTGACTCGGCTGTAGACAAATATGAGCCAAGCAGACTTGGCTCATATTTGAAAATGTGTATGCTTTTTCAGAAAATGTGTATTCCTCAACCAGTTGCAAGCTGTGGCTGAAGGTTCCTGGCAAAATTGGTCACAAAGACTATGCTGTACCAGAGGCCTCCTTTTGGCTGCTTTGGTTGCCATCAGATTGCCACGGTTGCCCATAGTTTGCACTGAAGACATAAACTTGTCTGCAAATTCTTGTTAAGCTGTAGTAAAACTTGAAAGAGTCAAACACAAACTAAAAACCGGGACATTTTGCCTTCAAAGCAAAAACTGTATACACATTTGTAACTAGCGAATAGTATTTATCTATTGGTTACTGTCCAGTCTTTAAGCCTGCATGAACAGGGATTTGGCAATCAATTTTACTGTGACTGCCAGCAACTACTTGAACCAGTCAGGTGCTGACTAGTCTCTAGGTCTATGTGTCGGTGGTCTGAGCAAGCTACAGCTTCTTGCTCTGCATAATTTTTTAATCACAATTGAAAATCAGAATGTTGCTCTATTCTATACACTTAATTAATACATGACTGGAGTAGAGATCCCTCCCTCTTTCTGGAGGTTTCTACCATTTTCATAATCCTTGTTGACACCAAGAATACAAGCATTGAGGCTTTTACCTCCTGTCCAGATAATGAACGCCCCTCAGGCAAATCTGACTTGACCTGAATCCAAAAATCATTAAAATAATGTAACCCACCTGCAATTTGCAAATGTAATTGCTTTAATGTTCAACATTTAAGTATGTGACTCCACAGTTCGATGATCATCTTTGTCCTCATTTTTCAATTAATGTTTTCCATTTCAAGTGGAGCACCACACAAAGCGTTCAACAGCCAAGCATAAGCTCTTGCAGATTCTTCATCTGCCTTCGAAACGAAGAAAATCTTATTAACCACAAATATCATGTAACTAAATCAATCAGCAATGTCAATGTCATACACAATATCTGTGCACCTCCAGTCCTCCAGAATCATGTCATCCACGTGAACCATGTGTCAACTCAGCCTTGACCTGATGCACAGTAAGAGTTTCCCCCACATGTTCACTCGTAAGGGCAACCACTTATCTATTGTATAAAGACATTGCCATGGTGATGAAACATCTCAACTAGCAATAAATAGGCAACACTGTCAAGCTGTGCTATCAAACGATGACTCACAACATTAGTTAATCACAAAGCTTCTGCCCAAGCACCCTTTAAGCTAATCTACTCTACTTCTTCCTCTTCCTCTAACCTTTCCTGTAATCTATTGGCTGCAGCTCCTACTAGCTTTAATTTCACTAATCAATAGAAGAACAGTCTTTCCAGAGGTTTTGCAGAGGCACTGAGATTAACTTTTTCAAGCAAGTGAGATCAAATGCTTCTTTTTGAACCATTCCTTGTGTTTCTCAGAATGGTGCACAGGTGTCCCAATACCTCCTGAGTCTAACTATATTCACAATTTATTTATTTTTACCAGAAAGTACATTGGTACTTAAACAGATTTATATTTGATGTACATATAACCAACACTTGTAACACAAGTGTTGGTTGTCTGGGCATGCATAGGTTCATGCACACAAGTCCCGGATAACAAGAATTTGTGGACTAAATGGAAAAAAAGAAAGAAAATGTGCCTTTTAATGTAAACACAGTCATTGGCTTTTCGCCATTACTTGGAAGCTAATCAGTACACTATCAGGAATACACACTAGAGCAGGGCGATATGACCAAAAAATTTATCATGATATACATTTGAAAATTTGTTTTAACGATATAACTGACGATATAATTGACACTAGAAAAAATACTTTACAACTCCACAACTTTATTCGTGCAAAAAAAAAAAAAAATCAATGTATTTTCATTTAAACAAGCAGCTGTTTTTTATGTGCATAAAAGTTACATAAAAATTTAACAGTGCAAATGCAAAATCCTTGCTGACAGTTTAACCAAAAGGCATTTCCAGTGGAAATTGGCCGACATATCCTCAGCATAACCATGTATAATATCCACAAAACTTAAAAAGAGGTTATACACATAATATGGTAATATTATGTTGAACCACAGTACGTATCACTCCACGAGGCGCCTGCCTACCATAGCCGTAATGCTCCGACAATCCATCAAGCGGTGCGGCTTCGTAGCTTAGCAAAGTCGTACTGAAACATTTGACAGATTTTCAAGCACCGTGTACGACATTAAATTGTTTCGAGGTCAGTAAACACAACCAGAATTCATACATAAGGCACAGGGATTATAAGGGGCACTGTCGATTTTCAGAAAAATCAAAGGATTGATTTTAAGTGTTCCGTATTTTCCAAACCACACGGCAATAACGACGGCCGCTAGCATGCTCTACTAAAAATAGTGCTTTGTTGTGTATCTGACGGACGAAAGCCAAACCAGTTCCACACCACTGAAGTTGCAGCATTTTTACAAACCAATTCTGGTTCATCCGTTTCATTTAACGATCCACTTTCGCCCTTCTCATTTTGCGTCGCCGCCATGCTTTTTCCGCCATGTGCGTATGAAAACAAAGGCACTGCGCATGCGTGTTTTACCCATATTCTATCGCGATATTTCATTTTCTTATCGTTGCCCGACATTATACCAGTATTACCGTGAACGGTATGATATGGCCCAGCCCTAATATACACTCAGAGAAACAATATAGTAAAGCCTATTTGTTTTCAGGTAAAACATGTTCAAAGACTGAATTACAAAGAAGAAAAAGACTTTTATTCCAGTTTCTTATCAGTGGGGATTATTAATGCTCCATTACTTCTATAGCAGATGCCAAAACTTTTAAACTCTCCCATGAAGGATTCTGTGCTAATGAGCAGTCAGTAAGAGTAACTAATATAGATTAATTTCTGAGAGACTAAATTTTGTGGAGACGAAAAAAAAAAATCAAGTAGTTTGGTGAGGATGGCTGTGTTATTGCAGATAGGCATGCTTGTGTAGTTAGGGGGGGAAGTTATCTCTGTTTGGGGTAGTTTTTTCTTCTTCTTTTTTAATCGAGCTCTTAGCAGCAGTGGAGCAAATAGTTGGGTGTCAGGCTTCTTGTTGCTGAATGGGATATTGCATAATGTGCTCTTCTGCTGTAAAAGCCTCTAAAGCAGGATTCTCCACCATCACTCCAGCCGATTCGCTGTAGTCTTCTGGTAGACGGCACGCTAACATGGATTCCTTGATAGCAAACACGGTTTCTTTTTCCCCCAGCATTGGTCCCTGAATCAGGCTTTCAATGTAGCGGCCTACGAAACTAATGCTGGGAGATGATATTAAGACGAGACACTAAAAGTTCGATTATAAAATCCTCAGTTGTCACTGAGGACCCCAAGGATTTATTTTCAACATAAATGATAAATACATACCTCTGTTGAGTTTTTAAAGATAAAAATTATAAAGTCTTGGTTTTTAAAAACGTAAAATCACGTCAGGATAAAGGTACTTTTTTTCCAGATACTACCCAAGGAGGAACGCCTACTGTTAGAAAACCAGTTTTGTAAGCTGTTACTGGAATTATCACTATGACTTCAGCAAACTCATCAAACAAACAAAGACAAAATCGCTTATGAAGTACAAATAAAGATAAAAGCTCCTACCTCTGACGCACAGTAACGACATGACCGACCGCTTCCAGCGACAATCCAGTAGTTTCACACAGTTTACAGAGCGACCTCTCAGCGGAGATTTACTCTGTGAGGTAACATTATAACAGTCACTAAACAGATTTTTTCATCAAATTCCTCTTTGATGTTTACAGGTGGGTTTCCGGTCCCGGACCTGGGCAGAGAGCAGCTGCCCCTCTCTGCTGCCACGCCATTATTAAAACTCTCATCACAGGTTTCCAGACTGAAGGACAGACCGAGAGCAAAGAGACAGGAGAGGGGGAGGAGGCGGGGTCGGGACACCTGTTACAGGCATCTGAGGCGACCAATCAGGATGCCAAAGCGCTGAGCCTTATGTAGACATTTGTCCAATCGCCGGGAGGGACAGGTTGGCGGAAGACACAGGTAACGCGCACAGATTCAAGTAAACATCCAGAACTTCGTATTTCACCATAGACAATATAAAACGATTCTCAGTAGAAAGATTCATTTAAGGTACTCAAAGTGACCTAGCTTTTTGGTTCTTTGTTTGTTAAATATTCCAAAAAATGTTTTGTAATTAAGCTGTGTTTGCTCTGGGCATGTCAAACACATAAAAAAGTAAACTGTGGGGAGATATCTGTAGATTTCTAAATTTTAGGTTTCGTAGGGATCAGTAAAATAAGCTATATGAAAAATGTATTCTTTAACGAATCTCATGAATTTCAAGTTCTTCCATAAATACAAAATTTAAGTAAAACTACATTTCAATGCTTTCAAACTGTACAATATGTTTTTTTTAATAAATTGTGCCACAATGGTGAATTTGCTATATTTTTATGGAGTTCCTCTGTCTTTTTTTAAACACATAACATGAGTCTTTGTGTTTGTTTTTAGCAAAACAATCCTTTCTGAGCACTGATAATTCACAATTTTAGATTGACTTTGAGCTTGGTTTTATTTTATCTATTTAATAAATCCTTACATTAGCATTTTCCATTTCCATTTACCAAATTAAATAAATATTTACTTTAAAAAAATAAAATAAAAAGAAAAGGTTCATACAGAATGCCCCCACAGTGTGTGTTCAACTGCTATCACATACACCAAATGACCCCAAAAGACAACATTGAGTTGAGTGAGCGAAAAGGAAACAAATAGCACCACCTTATGAATTGTGTCAGCCATTACACCAGAACGAGTGCATTTATTAACGAAAAACAAAACAAAACAAAAAATATTAGTAGTAGTAGTCGAAATATTACTCAACTATTAGTTGCCAGTAGTAATATTTTTTATTAACAATTAAGATTCAGTAGACTTATATATTATATTCCATAATAGATTATCAGTCTTCCACAATGAAAGGTGCTTAAAGAGAACAATGGCAATAAAAGTAACCTTTAAAACGTGAAATAGTTACAGACATACTGCAAAAAGAATATACTAGTTTATGTGAAAGACAAAAGTTATAGGGCACTATAATAGTCATACAGTGAACATTTGTATTAAAGTCACTTATTTCGTCCTATATTTTTATATCTTTTTAAATGTATTATTATTAATGTATCTATTAGCGGAACCACTGTATGACTTTTTGTTTCCCGCGCTGGGGGAGTTTTTCAGCGTTGCACCACTGATGTAACTTTCATTTCCTGATCGGTAAGGGTCACTCGCGTGACTGTGTAGCCTCAACAGAGTGTAGTTTACCAAACCTAATCTTCTAATTTTAAACAGTCCTTTTGCAATCTTTCAGCGATGTTACGGACGCTGTGTCGGACCGGCGGCCTCATTTTGCAGGTAACTGAAACTGTCACTGTGTGCCTCCTTCGGCTTAACATCTCGTGCACCGGTTCTTTTCTGTGGCTGGTGAAATAGGTGTCATTCATCAGCGTGAGCCCGTACGTTTAATAATCCCGATAGCACTGTATTTTTAGCGGAACACCTGCGGACATACTGATTATTTCTAGATGAAAATGAACTATTGGTTAGCTGGTATGGCTAGAGAAAGACTTTGGTATGGTCGATTAATATGGTCACATACTGTATACACTCAAATGGGTATTTACCAATGACCTCGTTCATATATATAATATGTAGAATGTGACCAAATAAGTCTAACCAAAAACTTAAAATTAAAACATAAAACAAGAATATTAACATTGATGTTTATTCAGTAACCTTAAGCTCTACAAGCTAAGATAGTCTTATGAGTCTTGGCTCAAATTCATGCAGTAATGCCACCTGTTTACGTTTTAATGAATCCTCTGTAGCAGACCCAGCGGACCGTGCCGAGGTTGTGCGTTAACCCAGTTCAGCAGCGATGGGCGTCCAGCCTGCCCATGAACACCGTGGTGCTGTTTGTGCCCCAGCAGGAGGCTTGGGTGGTGGAGAGGATGGGTCGCTTCCATCGGATCTTGGAGCCGGTAAATTTTGTTGCATTTAATAGATCCCCAAAAAACAAAAAGCACAACAAATAGATGGTGTTCTTCCCCAAACAACATGGGTTCGATCCCCAGTTTGACCATGAACTTCATAAATTTTCATTTTGGTCAAATCAAATCATATTGCATAGAACTAAACTGCATTACAGTTAAATATCCTAGCTTTCCAACTTACCACAATTACAAATACAGATCAAATACAGTTGTGATCAGAGGTCTTGTCAACACAAAGTTACTTATTTGGAGCACAGTTCTATAAGAAAGATAAGTTACTGAAAAAGTGCTTGTGCTTAAAGTGCTTCGCTGAGCTGAAATGTAAACTTAAAACATCTCAAGATTTAATCAATAAAAAGAAACTCTAAATTAAAACGACCTTAAAGTGTCTCAAAGGCTTGATATCTTATGGACTATCCTCCATTGCAGTCACATTCCCCCTCAGATGGCCAGCTCCTGTAATTTGGCCTTTTTTTTTTTTTTTCCCCCCCAGTGTGTCTGGGATGACACCTATAAACTGGGCGCACGCGACATCATTACTGTATGTGGGTTTATGTTCAAGCTATTTTTCTTGTGAAGAATTATTTTGGACTTGAACTTGGTGGACGGAGCTTCTTCTTTGGGAATATCATAGGCAATGTTGCAAGCAACTTTTCTTTGCAGATGCTCACGATGCCGCTCTGGGCAATGCCCCATGTCGCCCGTATCAAAAACCGCCACTGCACCACAGTAAATGTAGTGCATCATGTTGTCAGCTTTACTGTATCTTAGCCAAAGAAACTGGTCAAGCCACTCTCTTCGAAATGTATATACTTTACCCCTTTTACTTTCAGTTGGCTATGGCTCGGAGTGGATCGTATGTGATTCATTATTTGATGCAGTCTCCAAACCATTGTTAAACATAATCTGCCGTTTACTTCCTGCCTACCCGACCTTCTGAGGACCCGGCCTTCGCGGTCTACATGGGCCGGGTCCTCAGGAGGATGCAGCCCATGAATTTGGACACGAGTAATGTGTGTCTGTTGTTGACCACACAAAGACTTTTTTATTTATTTTTTAAATACTTGAACAGCTGGTCGTTTTTTGTTTTTTTTTTTAGTCGCACCATTGAGAAATTAGCCAAATAGGCTGCACTCTAGAGCCCTGGGTTACATAATGATGTAGAAAAAACAAAACAAGATTTAGGTGCATGAGTTTGGATTTATGGTCAAATGTTTATACAGACTCAAAAATATACACAAAGGCCCACTGCTATTTGCTTATCAAGTTGCACCTTGACCAGACAATTTGGATCATATTTTGATCGTATGCCATCATCACACTTGTGGCATATTTTCTTACTTTTTTTTGGTAATTGATTAATCTTCCTACTGTTTCACTTGTTGTTTGGCAGCATGATGCAATGCCAAGACCTAAGTAACTGTGTTTCATTCATAACATGTCAAATTGTTGAATGACAATAAAACTGAGTCTGATATTTGACCACTCTGCTTGGAAGTGTTGGGAGAGTTAATTTAAACTGGCTGGTTTCCTGACATGGACTCAGCTTTTGTGCTTCATTCATAAATTTTCAATAGGATTAAGATTGGGGGTATATAAAAGCTGCTCCAGAAATGTAATGTCAATGTGTTTTATCCATTCCATAACCAGATTTGATGTGTGTTTTTCATTGTCTCTAGAGCCCTGTAAGACATCTGACTATCTTGTATTTTTGTACACTTGTTTGATGATCTTAGATTCTGCAGCTGTTTAGAAATGGCTTCAAGTTATCTTTCTAACTTGTGTAAATGTACAATTCTCCTTAGATCTTCACTGATTTCCTTGAAATTTCACATTGGTCTGAGTATTGGTCACTTCAGTGAGTGCTGTCAAACAGATCATTTTAATGCTGACAAATGGAAACTACCAGTTGTAGTCAGTCATGATGGCAGTCTTTGCCTTGTCAAGTTAAAACACATTGTAGAACCTTCAGCACCACTTATGAACACAATTAAGTGAGTGTATGTTTATATTTGAGCCCGTATGTATACATGCAATCCAACTTGAATTCACACTTGGTCACCCAATTGTCATTTGTTTAAAGTAATTAAAGATGTATGCTGTACAATCATTCCACTTCAAAGAAATCATTAAAAGGCCAAATATTACCATGTCATTCATACCATGGAAATTTTAGTGTATTTTATTTTGATAGACTACTAAAGAAACTTGCCTTTAAGCAACAATACTATAACTCATTTTGCTTTATTATTGGACTATGTCATTAAAATTCCAAACATTATTCACTGCTGGCACACCCTAACATTTTCCCTTTTGCTATCTATAGGGTTTGAACTTCCTCATACCCATACTTGACAGAATTCGCTATGTTCAAAGTCTCAAAGAAATTGTGATTGATGTCCCAGAGCAGTCTGCAGTATCCCTAGGTAAGTAAGACATTGTTTATTTCTCATTATTCACAGGAGGACGAGCAGGCTTATTTATTTATTTATTTATTTATTTATTTATTTATTGTTAAACAGAATTGATTGTTTTCTCCATATTGTTATATTTTCTTTGAACTTGCAGATAATGTAACACTGCAGATTGATGGCGTGCTTTACTTAAGGATACTAGACCCTTTTAAGGTATGCTGGCAACAATTAGAACAGATCCAAATATCTTCTTGCTTATTATTATTTTTTTAAATTCACTTTATACTTTTGTTTGTTCACAGGCCAGCTACGGTGTTGAGGATCCAGAGTATGCTGTCACACAGTTGGCACAGACCACCATGCGTTCAGAACTGGGCAAACTCACATTGGACAAAGTGTTCCGAGTAAAGACAAACTGCTGTTTCATCTCATATTTTTTCTCTGTTCATGAAGGAACAAGTTGTATTTTATCTTTGCATTTGTTTTTAAGGAAAGGGAGTCTCTGAATTCCAACATCGTCCATTCCATCAACCAAGCTTCAGACGAGTGGGGAATCCGTTGCCTTCGTTACGAAATCAAAGATATACACGTTCCACCTCGTGTCAAAGAGTCCATGCAGATGCAGGTGAGAGAAACAAAAGAGCTTTTTA